CGTTGTCGCCATATTTCTCCGCGATCCTCACATTCGATCTGTCACAAATGTTTTTATTTGCAATCTTTCAATTGCAGACCTACTTGTAACGATATTCGTGGAACCGCTCACCCTACTTCAAAATATATTTGTTGGTGAGTCAGTCGAATCTTGTACATTCTCCTTTTCTAGTTCCGTTTATTTGAATCAAAATCATGAATATTGTTTAAAATTTACAAGATCGAATTTTGCTACACTACCATCAGCAGTCACATCTAAGGGGTTTTTAATATGCCACTTTCAGAATATGTATCTTTAAAGTTTGTTATGTGTTGAGTATTTTACAATTATGTTACTTAAACATAAACAATTGAAATAAGTCGAAAGTTCGGTTAATTTGGGCGACCTTTTAAATAAGATTTTTCATTTTTCTTGTTTAACAATATCCATGGGCACAGAATTAATTTTTCCTCATATAAGTATCCTATTATTTGCATTATTTTTAATTGCTTCAGAGTCAGTAATTATCACTGCCTAATAATTAGTTCAAGAGTCGCCTGGCGGAATATTTCGGGTCTTAAATAAATGATGATTTTACCTTACTGCAATCTAGTTAAGTGATTAAACTATTACACGCGAACGAACACACGAACAATGGTAAAAATGCGTTTCGTTTTAATAATGGAGACGATGATTGTAGTGAGAATTTATGACTGCTTATTATTGTCAATTATCATAACTAATTCTTATGACACTTGGTTCTTTAGTGATAAATTTTTGAGGCTAATCGCTGTTGATTTAAGGATGAAAGGGGGAAATTAATTTCGACGCTTCGATCGCCAGTTCGGGCGTCGAAATAAATGGCAGTAGAAAATGCCAATAAATCGACAGACGATTAATAAACGACTAATCTGATGCATGTAGAAATGATAACTTCTGTTCTTTTTAAATGCGCCTTTCTAGCACAAAAGTAGTTTTACTTCATCGGGCTTCGGGTGAATTTAAGTGCACGAAAAGCCAGGCTTACGCCACAACAAACATTGCTTAAATGTGGTGTAGGCAGTCAAAAGTTGGTATTTCATTTCTAAGCATAATTTCTAAAGACGTAAAAATAGTTTGTACTCTTAAACAAGTCTACGCGAAGGTCAAGATGGTCATAATCTGATCTGATTTCACAGAATTTGGCAGATACTAACAAAATGAATATTTGCATTCTACATACAACGTGCTGATTGTGTCAGTACAATAATGCATTCAGTGTGACTGACTTAATCCTCCCTTATTTGAATTTAATCTGTACAAAGACAGACGTATTTCATTTTTAAAATGCAGCGCTGAGAATTTTCTCAGTGAAGTCATTGTGTCTGGCATCCTGTTGCGTGCATGCTTTTTCCCAAATCCGTGCTTTTAAAAAAGAACACTTTAATAGTACCCTGGCAAAATAACCCACCATTCGCAGAAATCTGATTTAGCTGCTGCACTATTGGCTACAAACAACCTTTTACGTTTAAGTGTGCTGGGTAATTTCGTTGCAATTTGGATTCTCAGCACGGATATATTCAATAATGCGTTGATCGTACAAGTTCATCAAGGCTATTTCTCCATGGAAAATTAATAAATGATTGCCCTACTCATTACTGTTCTCAGTAAATCCGTTTGTTCTGATTCAAAAATCATAATTTTAAAGCATTTTTCATTCACGTATCCACAGAGAAGGCGTCAAATCACCACCCATAAATCAACGCAAAGCAATTCAGTCTGGTTTGGTGGTGCATTTCACCCTGCCGTAAATCACTCTTTGCACAAGTTATGTCCAAGATTTTGCCTGAGTTCTAACCGGATACCGAATGTGAAACGTTTTTGCCTTCAACAGCCTTAAAAACTACGTTCCATTCTCTCAAAATCTGGCTGTAGACTTGTCGGTGTTGTAGGTTTTATTCCAATGCCACATTTTCGAATTACGCCGCTCTTTAAGATATTTTTTAAATATGATTTACGCGCATTGGAATCAAAATTAAAAACGATTGTAGTTTTGTTTATTTAGAAGTCGCATTTAATTTGCAGAAAATACTTCCACATTTTTGTTTGCAACATATTCTTTTTAAAATTGTGGGCAAAATTTATCCTATATTTTACAACCGATCAGATCGCATTAGTGAAAGTCCCTGATAGTAATTCATACTTATTTTAATATTACTTATAAAAATTAATTTTAGCAAAGGTTTTTTAAAAGGAATTGCTTTTCTGAATTTGCAAATTGCTTAATTATTATAGCACAGTACCACAAATCCACAAAATCGGGCATCATTTTAGCTACAACTATTCCGATTTGCACCTAGGGCAGAACCACCTGTGCATTTCGAATGCGAAATTTGGATTTTAAATGGATTAAATTATTTAAATTTGAAAAAACTGAACATTTGATTGGTGAGTTTCATCCTCCTATATCTTATCAATAAAACTTACCTCCTAACTCCATTTGTTTTGAGATTTCATTAGTAAACGACTCATGCTAAAAATATGGATCTTTTTAGTTGATGAGTGTAATATGTTCCCGATATCACAAACTGGAGCGCCGTAAGTGGGTAAAGAAGTGAGAAGTTTATCAACAATTGGTTTATATTTATTGAAAAACTTAAAAACTTCTCTTGCCTTTCTACACAAATTGATCAGGGGGTAATTTTCGCATTTTCATTTAAAAAATCACGTTGCGTTGACTTTTTATCGTCAGTTGACGCCAAAGTATTCACCGATCAATGAGCGAATTGTGCGTCAGCTGTTTTATTAGGCATGAACTTTTTATTATGCAAATTTAAAATAAAATTCAATTTTTCTGTTTACGCTTCACTTTCATTTAGTCATTTTTCAGCCAATGCTCACTTTTCTATACACTTGCGGTTGATGGTTTTGTGATGTTTATTTGATCTGCATACTATAGTTTATTTCTAGATTATATGACCTACCATTTGCACTATTCCAGCAAAATTGTGAGACTGCTTTTTTGAATTATTGTGTCGTGTCATAAATGACTTACATATCCCTCCTGGCAAATGAGTATTTTGAGTTGGCATTTTCAGTTCAAAACCATTTTTTTGCATTTCAGCATCATCGATTTCATTTTGCAAAAATCTGGACGTCTGAATTAAAACACGCATTTTAAAATTTGTCAAACATTCTTTTCAAGTCCAAGTAACTGTCTTGCAAAATTTAATTTACCATTTTCATCTCCTCATAGTTGTTATTCTTCTACAGATATCGGCGTTAAGTGGTGCTTAGCGGAGGCAGAGCCATATTACGTAATTCACCTTCCAAAAGACCGTTTAATTAACTCTACCAAGTATGCAGTGAAGTGCTAATTTAATCATCAGCCGAAATTATTCCCAAACCCTAATAAAGTATCCATTTTGCTTGATTAGTATTTTAAACAGTCTACTTTTTATGGCCATTTTTGTAATAAAATAAGACACACCCATAGACAATAACTTTAAAGTCAAAGTACGGCTGTTCTAATTAAAACGTGCAGTTTAAACATCCTAGATCAGTCCCAGTATCGTTAAAAGGTGTTAATTTGGCCAAGCTATGTCGCCTGTGGTCAATTTGCCGGATGAAATTTTACCTAAATGTCATGCATCAAGTCAAGCCTGTGACTTTACGGTTTAGATAGACGGTTGGGTGTAAATAATTTCTGCCAAGTCTACTGACGTAATCAGGTTCAGCGGTCTCCTGAAAAACTAGAACTCAAACGTTTCCAAATTTTTACCACCTCTTTTTCCGCTCTCAATCGTGGACAATAATCGGTGCTGTCATTGACTTGTTATTCTCAGAGAATTAACTGTTTTGTTTTGAGAAAATTCGACCTGACGCACTAAGAATAATTATAGCTGAGGCATAATCGGAGGTCTAAATGATGTGGCCGGTCAAACCCATTGGGGATTGCATTTCCTCTTTATTGGCAAGGCTAACATGACACCGAAATGCTACATAAACGAAATGCGACTAGGTAGATGCAAATCCCCAAGGCTAACTGTTTGAACCCCATGTTTGGCATGACAAAAGCTTCCCACAACAAGAAAAACCAGAGCTCGCAGGAAGGGCTTTATTGTCCCAGCCCAAGGTTCGAGCACAAACTGGGCCCAAAGCAGAAGTCGAATGCCCGGGCGATCTGGGATCGATGAATACTGAGTCGTTGGTGGGAACGGCGATGTGGCGTGACCACTGAGTGAACAGACGTCATAAACCCTATTGTCTTTGGGGAATGCTGTCATCCCCAGCAAGTTAATTATGCGGTTATGTTAATTCTTGCCCATTATTTTGCACATAGGCTGGCACTGGGGAGCAACAACGTGCTGGTGCGTGCCGTACCTCCAAGGGATCAGCGTCTGCGCCTCCTCCCTCTCCCTCCTTGTCATCGCCTTTGACCGGTGGGTAAATTTTGTTAATAAATTCAAACCTGAAAGCCATAATTTTCGCTACTTAGTTGACCGCACTGTTGCGTGCCAGTGTCATGGGTTAGACCATTTGCTAGAAGACTTGGTTTGTCAAAGTCGATCTTTAAAGCTAAGGAAAAACGTTTTGAAATGGACGCTTTCCCTCGGTCTCGTAGTTTAAAAGGAAGAACGGTGGAATTAGACCTTGTGAATGTTTTTGGCATTTCACTAGCAAACGTTACCCTACACTATTTAGAGGGTTTTCGCTTCACCAACAAAATCCACCTTGCTCATTTTTACAACAGTGATTAGCTAAAACCACTTTTGAATAACCGCATTATTTCGGCCGGAAGAAAAACACTAACAGCATGCATCGGCTTTTCGTTTACCTGTCTCGTGGATAATTCGCTGCATTTACCGAAATAATACACAAACAGGAGTTAATTATTTTTGTTTGTTCTGACAACAGGACACAGTTTTAAAACTTTTCTTATCAAGTTAAGTATAAAATGGACTTGTCAAAAGCAATTTAAGCACACTTCTATGAGCTAAAACCATTTACTTAACAAAGACCGACTGCAAGTGCGTTTGAATAGTTTTCACTGAGATTAAACACACAAAAAATACAGCTTATCATAAGTCAATGATTAGTAATTTAGTTCCAGAATTTCCATCCGTCTTTATTAAATTACATCACCAGCGAATCTTGGCAGTCTCTAGTTAAAAGCTGTAAAAGGAAATCGGAAGCATCGGGTCTAAGTAAGAAAGAAATGCGTTGTGAACAAAATCAGGTAAATGGAAGATACAATCGAGTTCTGTAACAAAACGGCGTTTGCATTGCCCTTGAAATAAAGACTGTTACGTGTGGCTCCATTCGACCACGTAGCTTCAATTTACCCAGCCTAGAATTTCAAATGCAGAAGTGTACTTTGTTCACAGTTCTTCAACGCTGGTCACAAAAATACCTTTATTGTGTCGACAAATTCTTCGCGATATTATAAACTAATTAAAAACACTCAAACGCCTTCGAAATATGATATTTTTTGTCCCTCACTAAAACAAGTGACAGTAGAGCCTCGTTTCTGAATTCAGAATTATCAAACTGATACGCAGTCAGTAGGGTCTATTTAAAAATAGCTTGCGACTGGTTTTGTACAGAATTGTAGATGTTCCGAATTTTCTAGTGAAATCAAAGCATTTACTGCGCCTAATGTGTACTCCATAAAAGAATCCAGGAGTCACCATAAAGTACTGAGATGCCGCAATTCCCTTGACGACGTTACCTCAGGCTAATTTGTCAAAAGGCGATCATCTCGCATAGAAGATTTTATCACAATCAGCTGTTCACCATCTGGCTGCCACTGGGATTCAGCTTCCAAACGTTGCCATAGGAACGGAGATCTAAGCTGACCAATCAAAAACCGGACTGCTTTTAAGGTGCTCTATGAGCTACTTAGTTACTACTTGGAACCTTTCTGCTCGCTTCTAACGCAGATACCTGGCGGTGTGTTTCCCAATGAAGCGACTCATTCGCCGTGGTCTAGCGAAGAAGATAATTGCTGTGATATGGCTCATCTCGGCAGCATTGTTCATCCCTTGGGCGTGTTTTTACCGGCTTACTGAAGGCCCAGACGGCGGCTTCTACTGCCGCGAATTCTGGCCGTCTGTGACCGCAGACAGGGCCTTCTTCCTGGGCGTCGTGACTCTCCTAGTGTACACGGCGCCGCTCCTCTTCATGGCCTACTGCTACTGCTCCATCATCTTCCGCATCTGGATGCGTGTGCGCAAGGGTCAGCCGCCGTCGATGGTGGACAACCCGAAGACGACCCAAGGCCACACGATGAACCCCGTCGACAACCCCACCGAGGCGCCCTCGTACCGCGAACACGACACCAACTCAGAGACCTGCTGCTACACAGAGAACCAGCGCACCGAAACTGCCAGCCATCTGGCGGCGGGAAATTTGCTAAAAATGTACGCACAGTTTAGTTAACTTCACGCGTAATCATGCTTAGCTAACCAGACGCAGATCAGGCCGAATAGGTGACAGCAAGCCAAGCTTGCGGTTGTATGAATAATTCCACTGGCGCTGAACAAAGGCTTTGTCTAAAAAAGACGCGCTTGCCTTTAAAACAGTAATCTTTTTTTGCAGTGTGTACCGGTTTTTTGCCTACCCTACCAATCAAAGCAATGGGAAAAGTGATGTGCTAGTTTTTAACTGGAGTGAATAAAAGCAGAATTCTAGATTAAAACGGTAAAAGGATCAAAACACAGTTATTCGTGACATCTTTACACTAACACCTTCACTTTTTCTACCACAAATTTTAAATGAGAGAGAGGGAGAAAGAGAGTGGCTGCTGATTTTATCCACAGTGCCTAGGCACAAACGTTTATAGCCATGTTCAAATTAAAGACGTGCTTATATTTGCCGGAACACACGTCATGATTTGCTGTCTGTCTCGTTGGAGTTTAAATCATGCTTTCGATGGACTTCTAGCGACTTAAATCCTTTTTACAAATGCTCTATGCTATCTGACTTGAAAATCTCTTGACACTGAATGCAATCTTACTTTTCTGAATGCTAACCCCATTGCTAAATTAACGTCTTGAATTTAAACAAAATAACGGCGTCTACGTAATTCTTCGTTTTAAACAGCCTTTTTCTTCTCACAAGTGATCTGGTCGACTGAGCTAAATCTACCTCTTGTGCGAAATAGCTGTGTTATGTTGCATTTCCCTTTACTAATCCTACTACACTTTGTCCCACTATCATAGCGCCAGCAAGCGAAGGCGTTGTTTTTATCAGATTGCACCAGTTTGAGAGCTGTCAACCGGAAAAATAAACAACGTGCTTTTAGAGACAATAGTGAGACTAGGGGAAGGGTTGGTGCTGCTTCAGTTACCCCGATACATACCGTCCCATCTACTTTACTGGAATTCTTTTTAGCTAGTGTCAGAGTTTGGGGGATCTTCAAGTCTCGCTGCAGTTTGACGTGTTTGTACAACTTTAAAAATTAGACATTCAAGGGAATTATATTGCCCCCTTTCTCAAATTGCCCCTTTGTCTATGCATTCTTGAGCAAATACCACCTGTAGCACCGGCATTTCACAAGCACACACGACCTTCACTAATAGGCAACTGAGTTGAGCAATCTGTCGACACAGATTGCAAATAGCCGACAGATTTGCTGGAAACAACGAGGAACAAAGGCAATCCGGAACTTGGTGATACACAATAAATATTAACAAAGTAAACAGAGTAAACGGCAGAGATGAAGCGGTAAATGTACACAACGAATAGAGGAACAGGCTGCTGGTGGCGTGTTTGAGTAGCGCTCCAACGATACCAGTTTAGTAAAACAAAATGTTTTGCCGAGACAACATGACAAATGTCACAGTCATTCTAACCTCTTCGATGAAAGCGCCCTTCATAGTTACCCTAAAATTATTAGAAAATTCATCATGCTAGGCGATTTAAGTATGCGACGTTTAAGCGGCTCTAACAATGGTCATAAAAACTTTTTGAAGCCCTCGACAACTTATCAACTGTTTCGTGTAATTTGTACTTTATTTATGCTTATTACAGTCAATTACACTTCCTTAAACATTAATACCTGGTCTGTTTTTTAAAACGAACGTTAAGTTAAACATCAAACGCTGGCCAAATTAGGATATTATTTATCCTCATGTGTTGTTTTTTATGTTAACTGAAAGTAACTTAACAAGTGTAGCTGTTAGTTGGCAAATACAGGCCTCTAGTGTCTTTCTGCCTGCTTCACTGGAACACGTTTGTTTCCACTAACGCAATCATTTGCTTTCCAAATTCAGCATTAAACACCCCCTTGTTGCCATAGCTACGACACGCTCTAATGCACAACAATGGACATCAATTTCGTGAAGATTAAATGTCGACTAATTTAATAAAAAAAGGTCATTAATTTAATAAATATTATTCCTCCTGGGCGTTATAATCACTGCATATAATGCGTGCAGTCTTCTGACTGACTTCGACTGACTTTAATTGAAATAACTGTCAGATCTTAGGTTTCAAAATATCCTGAACTATTTCTGAAAATTACTGACAGCGATCAGCTGCATTGCCTGCTTCGAAATGAGGATTTGTACTTATCGCGCTCCATCTAATAATTTTCTCTGGTCTGCACCAGATGGTTAGCTAGTAAATTTGAACAGTGTGATCAGCATTGTAAGCTTGTAGCTGGCTTCCTAAATCTGGCTTTGATTGAAAGATATTGTTGTGCTTTTTACCAGATTTACACTGATTGAAATCATATCGTTGATAGTTCGACTACTTTATAGCCTACAGCATTACAAATTTTAACTTTTGTCACAATACTTTCAGCCCAAAATTTGTAAAAAGTCATTAAAAATGCTTCCGAGAATTGCGGTCCAGTTGTTCCGTGGGTGTTTAGTGCTATGTCATGCAAAATTGATGCTTTTGTGTGGCGCTGGTGTTTTTAAAGACAATTCACCTTCGCAGGTTCTCCAAGTTTTGTTACAATTAAATTACGTGTCATAGTTTCAAGCTGATCTCGATTCCAACATGCCGATATGAAAATTCAGTTTTCCCAATTAAATTCAAAAGATACGAGTAAAAAATTGTGCACTATTTATCAGGCCAAGTCAGTACATTTGGCTATTTTGGTGTAAATTGATCAGCACTCATAAGACCCTATTTTTCGCATTCAGGAAGGAGAAATCCAAAAACGTGCGACTCCAATCGGTTGGCGGTTTGAATCGTGTGAAGACAATGAAGATAATAAAGATGCTTGCCATTGTGGTGATTAACTTCTGCATCTGCTGGCTGCCTCTATTCGCGATCTTCAACATCATTAAATTTTCTCCGGCCTACTCTGCTGCCAGCTACTCCTCCAATTCCACCAGCCTCGACCCTGAGAAAGACCTGATCATCCCGCCGAACGTGATCCGCTACGTTGTGCCGTTTGCCCAATTACTTGGCTCAGCGAACAGCTGCGTGAATCCCTGGATTTACTGCTTCTACTCAAAATGCTACCGCCACGGCTTCAAACGCGTCTTCCTGTGCAAGTCCATGAAGAGGTCTTCCATCCAACGACCTCACGTCCGCAACCAAATCTCCCGTCCTTCCGTCGTGGTCTTAGCCTCACGATTCATGGCCTTGGTCAAACCGCCTTCGAATAAAATTTCAGATTTTAACTACTTGGGGTTTCATTCCGTGTAAATTATCTTTGTACAATCCTCGGGCTGGTTTATTATCGACAAACAATAAAGGCTTTGTCCACGAGACTCAGGAATCTGATTAGTAAGAAAGATTATATCTGCACTCTTCGATATAGTACACTTGAGTTGTGATAATGATAAGACAACTGATTATTCAATCGTACCTACTTCAAAATGGATGTCTCAGCAATTTTCCTGTTTGTTATTTTACAAATAATACCACGAAGTTACCTTGGCAGTCACGTTAAGGCAATTCTTCTGAGTGAGCCAATGTTTAACTCAGATAAGTGCATTTATTGCGCTAGAGAAGGTGCATTTTATTGATTTCCTACAAATCAATCGAAATCCATAAATTTTTCGTATACTTTGCCACTACAATTGCAGCAGCCGATTTTAAATTGACCAATTATCAAGCAACTAAGTTCGAATGTTGTGAGAAATCACTGCATCAATGATTACCATGCTGATTGTGTGTTCCTTCGCTCTCAAGGCAAAATGCGCGGTGGCAGCGTCAACTGGCCCTCTAAGTTTGTTACGGCACATAACAGTTGCTATCCAACTATCTCAATTATCGTATTCCGATTTGCGACTGTTGTGTGTCCATGAATCGGCAATATCTTCCTTGGACTGCCACGTTTACAAAACCACTCAATGCAGTAGTTCAGAAACTGGGGGAAATGTGGATGAGAAGCTGTACAGGCCACAATTTCGATTGCCTCAACAACAAAACGTTTGTAATTTAAACTGTTTTAAAACAATCTACAAGGGACTCAGCATGGATGTGGTTTGACACTAAGTCGACGATTTTGCCACGAGTGTACTAGTAGTTCACGAACTGGTTAGCATGTTGATATTTCACCCAGAGAGGGTGACACTTTAAGAAGCACAGTTTCAACACGGCAGAGTCTGGCTGGGGTTAGAATATTTCCGGGATTGTCTCTGGTGTATAAAGCGGTGGCGATGCGATCCTGATATGAAACAAGTGGATGACGAGAACAAATGTGTGTTAATCGGTACTAACGAGTACAAGGGCCTTGGAAACAAACTTTGCATGTCCTTTAGTATGCGGACAGAGTAAGAGCCCACAAAGAAGGCTAGGGAGAGAGAGGTACCAGACAAGGGCAGAAAGTCAGGTTTTGGAGAGTCGTTGCCTCTCGTGTACTCAACACACTTCACTACCTTGCAGCTTGAAACTTAGTTACCCCTGTCTGAAATCGTGTTGGTTTTACGACGCCCCTCCTGAAATCTAGAGTGCATGCGTTGTGCAAGTAAATGTGTGCAGAGTTACACAGGCTCATTGATGTTAAAGCGACTAATTTGTGAAATGAATATGTTGTAAATGCACAATTTTATGCTGAATTGGAACACTGGCGTTAGTATTCAGCAAAACAGCTAGCGAACTTGATCAGTTTTTCTGTTAGATGCATGGTTGGCATAGTGACATGCACGCAGCTCAAGAAACACCAACATGATTATGGACAGCTCGATATAAATACGACCACGAGATGAGTTACTCGATGATAATAGGAGACGTTAAGACAGTTTTTGTAGTCTTTTTCTCCGAAACTGGGTGTTTTTTAATGTAAGAAGCGTCGTTCATTGACATTCATTTTGGCTTCTCAATAAGGATGCGTGTTGGTTATAGTCGAATCACACAGACCAGGAATAAACTCACGGAATTCGTGGAATGCGGTTTAGTCCCTTATCCAAATTACCATTGCCCTTAATCAGGTTACGCATTTATCCAACTTTCAGGGAATAGATTCAATTTATGTTATAATTTTGACAAAACGGCGACCTCTAAATCGAGGCCTAAATGTGCACACTGATTGGTGCTCTCAGCTTGTGGTAGGCGGATGGCTTTGAAGATTCCACACAAGATCAGTTGACCGCACGCGGCAACTGGGCTGCCTAACAGTGATTGGGGAATTTTTGCTAGTTTACGTCCACCAGCGCCAGTGCGAAAATTGCTCCTGCGACGCGTCTCATAACGCACCTGAACATTCAGGCACTTGATGTCCTCCCACGTGTTCATCTGATTTCTATTGGCTAATTGCTACAACCAGTTGCAACCCTAGTGTGCACGTTGTGGGCACAGAAACAGCAGGCGCAACGCCCCAATTTTCGACAGATTTTCAGAATTGTTTGAGTCTCTCTCTCTCCCGTTTTCTACCATCTCTCTGGCTTCTTTCCATTAAATGGAATTTTGAATATTTACAATTCAATGCTGCAAGAACAACGGCTTGTATCGATATGTCATGAATCAGACTTAACTCCTCCTTTTTAGGAGCTTGGACTTTTAACGCACAAGGACCACATCGGTTCCACTGTTTTTTCATTGGTGGAGACAGGTTTACGTTGACTACGACTTCCAACGTAATCAATCCTTTAGAATCTAAGACAGCAGCATATCTACTCAATCACTTTCGTAGTTAGCGATTAAAATGCAACTAAGCCTGTCGTATAGCCAGCCAAATCGTATTCATTGTGCATATTCTCTAATCCGAGCCCTATTCGTCATGTAAATATTGAGATACCTGTAAAATCAATTTCGTGTCTTTTTCTAATCATCTGATTTTAAGTTAATAAACTACGTTACTTATTTCACAAGAGTAGCAAAGGTAGAGCAAAATATCCAATGTAAAAGTATAACCCCAATTCCTACTTCGGCTGGAGTGGCTTCTAGCAGTTGACCGTTCATTTTATTATAGGTATTTGTGGTAAATAAAGCAGCATGATTCCATCCAGTCCGTTGAAATTGTTTCGTCTGCAGAATTTAACAAAAACATTTTCATTGGCACGTAAGTCCCAAGATATCACTTCAAGTAGACAATGAGATGGAAATGCCCGTAGACAATACCACAATGTGAGAAATTTCTTCATTTGGCACCGGTGTCTCGGGAGGGAATAGGAAAGAGATGGAATACGCAGAGTTAGTGTAAAAGTTGAATACTTGGCTCCCAATTACTTCATGCCAACTCACTCGTACTCTCCGCATTCTTGCTAGACAGCCGTCATAACTCGCCTGCGCTGTTAGCAGTGTCCTGTTCAAGCATATACAGCGCTAAGTGAGGCTAGCTATTTAAAGGAAAACACGTGAACTTTCTTGTAACGTTGGGATAAACGCCAATACGGTTTTGACGCGATTGGCCTTGCTGGGCTTACCCGTAAAGGCAGCCAAGACCTATCACGCAAGTGTCACCAAGCCCGCATAAACAAAGGTGCTGGTCCACGAACGACCAAATTGAGGCAACTGGTGTTATCAGCTCTGAGAAGAGTGATTCCAGTCCAAAGCTCTAGTAGAAGATGCGGGGACTCCTTCTGCAAACGTGGCCCCAGTTAATGTGTTGTCCGAATGCTAACTTGACGGGGAATTCGGGAATAAATCAGAAGTCCCAAATGTTTTTTTTTTCTTAAAGCCCATTGAGGCAGCATAAACTGGAACTCCCAAACAGACAATGGCTCTGGCACAGATGCACAAGTTCTTGAATTTTAAATCGTTGTTGCGCGTATGCGCTAGGACGGTGGTCAAGTCAAACACATGACAGAACACTCGTTTCGACGGCACCAAGCACAACCCTGCTAAAACCCCCAGATGCTGACGCCGCATCATACTCGACCCATGTGGCTGCAGCGGCTTCGTTAGCACTGCCTCGCAACCCTGATATTTAACAGTCCGTAACAACCCGGGGAGAGTGACAGGACAGATGACGCCGAATACGACTGTGCACTCATACTGCACCACCCAAGTGTTTGTGCAACAGAGTGCGTGAGTGATACTCGACCAGAAATGGGAATCGACATTTGATGACATTTCATCAACCCGCGAATGAGCTCCATTCGAGCTAAGTTGATGACAGTTTACTGCTAAGCACAAGCACACATGAACTCAAATCAACTATCTTGAATTCACTTGACGCAGTGACGTCCGTTCACGTATTGAATATGAAGCATTGCTATTTAAATTTACGACTTATTACGCTAAAAATGGCACTCCCATACAGTAGCGGTGAATCCGTTGCCTCCTTGCTTCGCCAAGCCGTGTCAACGCAGGTCGTCAGCCTAGGTGAGTTTCAGGAACCACATCGGGGATTCATCACCTGGCTAAATCCCCAAGTCTTGTCGATATGGCACCATCCAAGAACCATTCCGAAAACCTCTCCAACTAACGTACGTCGTCAAAGGATCATTTGCAAACAGAGGAACCGCTTTATTATTTTAAGCGCTTTATTAAAGTGCAATGAAAACGGCTTTTGCGGACATGAATAAACAGAATTTGTGAACGTCAATGCATTAGCCGAAACTTGTACAAATTGTGTTAAAAAGAATACAGTTGAAGGAATCTGCCCGAAGTTGCGGGATTAAGCTTCAGCTCTTTGTTACTCCTGCTGTTGGGTCTGAAGACCGATAAGCGAAGCACGACGATTCTTCACCTCAGCAACCTTCTCAAACTAAAATAACGTTTGTCGACTGTTTCGTTAGATATAAGTGCGAAGGATCCCAAAAAAATCTTAGTAGAGGTTAAAATACGATACCTATCTAGGCCCACAACCAAATAATTGATGAAATGTTAATACGCTAAGATTCGAGTGTAGGGTACAAATTCTACGGGTGACTATGAGTCATTAAAGGCACAGCCAGTAATTTGGATGATTAAAGCAGCTCACGAAACGCAAAAAGTCTAATTTTCTCACCTCATGCTGGCAGGACTCCTTAACACTCTTGATGATCATCCGACGATTGTTCTCCTTGTTGGCCATATCTTGGGCGATCTCGTGCATTTTCTTCTCAGCCTCCTCGGAGAGGGAAGCACGAATGCGCTCAACACGGTCAACCTTAGCGAAGGAAATTAAAGCATTAGTGTGAAAGTCAGCTCTAGATTCCACCTTAGCTGGTTTTAAATTGTTAAACAAATTTCCCATTATAACCAAGGAAAGAGACTCAATTTTGGTCACAAAATCCTGAATTTATCCATATGAATACATACGCGAAAGCGGCAGACAATGTGCCTATCACAATTAGAAAAAATAGGAGAGATCAAAACAGGTATTTCTGGATTATTAGAACTTTGAAACGGTAATGAGGAGTCAAAACGCTACAGTCTACACTAAGAGGGCAACGTTGGCAGAGAAATAATTAGTAAAACAAAAATATACGACACGCGAAACTTACAGTTTTCTTGGCGCTTTCAACCTTCTCCTCGATAGTTTGACGTCGTCGCATCTCGGCCATTTCAAGACGCATTTCTGCGTTTTCTTTCAGCTCTGCCTTTTGACTGTCCTCCCTGGCTTTTAGGTCTTCTACAGCCGACTTTATTTTTTGGATGTGAGCCTCGTTTTTCTCGCGTGTTTGCTAAAGATGCAAAATAGTATCAAAATGGAAACATCCTATACTCATTGCGGGAAATCAAATGCTCCTAACATCCGACAAAAGAGTTGCAAAAGCCAACGTATTAAAAGCATAGGGAATAACAACAGGTCCCACACGGTAATCGAACATAACATCAGAAATTATGGAAATACAGTCAGCGAAAAAATACCAAGAACAGCACCAAAACACTACATTGCAAATGATTTCTTGCAAGGAAAGACATTTATAAAGAAACGTAATGTTCTCGCAAAGCTATTGTCGTTTTTTACCTGCAAAATACCAGACCTACGCCGAATCGCTTCCTCCATTTTCTCAATGACATCCTTTTTGGGAGTATCATTAGCTCTTGAAAGCCGTTTAGCAGCAAGGGGACTTTTCCCACTGTTTGAAGGCTCTTGATCGTCGAAAGATACGACAAACGAACAACCAGACGTAGACGACATGTCAAACAAAACCGCTTTGAAATGTTTGACAAGCACCCGCCTGAACAATCTATCGTATTTCACACATACTTAAACAAACGCATTTTAAAAATCATCTGATTAAGATTTGATTCTTCGCAGACTGATTTCCCACTTACAGTTTAACTATAGTATTTGCCTGTCAATAATTAAAAGCTGCTTGCTAATTTTCTCGATATTGCAGAGAATGAATTTTGAATCAGATTACGTGAATCAAGGGCAAGTGGAAGGGATCAGGGTTATCTTTATGGCAGTAATATTAGTGTTAGCAAATTTGTGGGCATTCCTTCTGAATTTTGACTGCTGTATCAAGGTAGTTTATTTTTCGAGAAATCATTGGGCGTAATGTAGTCATAGATTCATATCAATTGATGCTTTAATGTGATTATTTGGCTGTGTAATGTACCATTAGGAACAATTATGTGAACGATAATACTGCATGCCAGTTTCATTCCGGTTAATATTTGTTAAGACAATGGTTTTATTAAATTATTACTTAGGAAAAATCATTTTCATTATGAAGTACACAAGTCTGAGAAGGGCCAAGTTTTATCTAAATGGCAAATATTCCAAGTGAACAATTTATGAAATGATTTACGTAACCTTTTACTACACAGATATCAAATACATCGTACTCAAAATGTGCATTGGTACTTGTTTTTATTTATTGAATCTTAATTCTTTGCTCTAATGTTACATGACCCTAAAATTTAGCATGGGAACAAATCTTCGGCTTGAATACCAATTTTAGGTTTGTTCGTAGCGGCATCACCCACTAGTTGGTAGTAGTAACATGCATTGGGTCATCATAAACGCATGTATTTTTTATATTGCTGAACATTACTAACAAGGCCAAACCACCAATCAAAATTAAACGAGTTTCGCCAATTGGGTTTGACTTGAAATGTATGACTTTCTGTTCATCACTAAGTACCGAATTATAGTGTAGGAAAGCAGAGGTCAGATTTTTAACATTTGGAGCCCATTTATTACCCGGCTTAAAGTCGTGGTGCTTTTATTTCATTGAATGCAAATGACACATTCTGCATTTTTCCAGTTCTTATGTTCTGTCATCTTTACACAATCCGATCTCTCTAACTAATTCTGTTTGTTTACTAAATTGCATGATTACACCAATTTTAAAAGTTTTCCCATAAATCCAGAAATTTGCAAAACAGTGTTGTTCGTAGTCCCATGAAATAAGTGGTTTTTAAACGCATTATGCAGGGTTTGGGCAATATTGCCCTTCACTACTCATGCAGCTTCAGAGTAAAGTTCATAGTGGTAACTCTTGTCTAAACTACGTCAGTGATTGCGCAGATCCGTCGTGAAATGCTGTCTTGTAAATCAAGTGTACCTCTCACAACTTTGATCATTAATTAAACATTGGATAGATCAGTGGTAGTCCCACACTCCTTGGACCTTGGTGCATGAAAATTGGCTCTTATTTGCACTCTTGCAGAATGTGATGCGACAATCTGGCATTCAGTCTAGTTTTGGAGTAATGCCGCGTTAGAAAACTGCTGATAGCTGGATAGCACAAATGACAACTTTGTGGAATCCAATTAAGTCCCACTTTGCTCGAGGTAATTATCACCAAACGCTAAACCCTTTAGGTGCTGAGTGTAAATGAACGCACGTAATATCACCAATAATGCCACTATTAAACTTTTACTAAGCGACTCTACACGAATTCGACTAACTGGAATTTGACTTTAGATCAATTTCTACAAATAATTTTTTGCTGTTACACGTAGTTATGAAAATACATCTTGTCTTTGTCCCGTTTCTATGAAATAGTGGATGGGTTATGAAATGATGTTTTGTTAAATTTGATTCCACAAACATTGACCAGTCAGTTTGAAGGTCCTTAGCAGCACAAATATACTCGCTTGATTCAAATAAATAGTCATTGTTAGATCCCTTAAAAAAACTAACAAATGTGACGTCAAAATTTGCCTCAAGTTTTTAGTAAACAGAAATTGGCTTCAAGATACAAAAATGCCTGATTAAAAAAGGTCATCGACGTCTCATTTGGACACCAATAACAATTAATTTAGTAGTTCTAATTGAGATCTTTAAAAATATGAGTGTCCAGAACAATGCTAATGATTACTAGATCCTCTTTTTGGGTGACTAATGTGTTTATATGGCCTGATACACTCCCAGGGGTATAAAATTATTGGAAGCCAAAAAAAGTAGAGATAAATGACCATCCACCGACCTATTTTGACCACGTGATGTCGGAGTAGTTTAACGCCCAAAACATCGTGATGTGTTAAATTATACTGAGGATCTGAATCATTAAATGTAAAAATTTAATTAAGCAACAGTTTTCTGGCTGTCTTCGGAACTACGGTAACTCTGTTTTTAACAAAATGATGTACGCTAGAAAAGTGTGCGCTTTTTTAAAATAATTAATCAGCAAACGAAAGCCCATTTACTTATTTTGTTTGGGGTTTGCGAGAGCAAAGAACAGCGCGTTATCAAGAGAATTCCGAAAAATTAACAATCTACGGCATCTCATTTTGTTTGCAATTGTCGTAAATCATTTTAAAGCGTCAAATTTACCACCAGGATCACTGATGAATTTTATATAGCTCTAGGTCTATGCGGATCAGTTTTGCACCTAAGCTAGCAAGTCGAAAATGTGGGTTAAATGGTCAATGCGTTTGCCATTTTAAGGCCACCAGTAATGGCAATTTCAACATAGCAACGGTCGATCCAAGCTAAATTGAGGTAATTCATGAATCTGACTATTGTAAATGCAGATTCGACGGAAATATATCTAATGTGCTTTCTGTTTTTTTTTTGGTTATTTTCGTATTTTTTTTTTGGCAAAACAATAGTTGTGCTTCCTTATGCCTTCCTAAACAGGTGTTCTTTCATTGGCTTTTTAGTGTTTAATGACATAATTTTGTTGTCCTAATGTGACAATAAGCCCGGAATGCTTTCATCTTCGCCCATAACTTTTCGACAATCCTACCAAACATCTGTGCACAAATAAACTACGGCATTATCCATTTGAAAGAAGCTCAAACCAACTTGGTTGGCCTTGGGGGCAACGAATAGTATAACAGACACTTGCTGCATGCGCCAATCGGTTGAAAGGCTGGCAGCAAGGGAGGCGGCTGCTTGTGTGGCTGAAGGCAGGAAAATCGGCCTTGCACTAGTCCCACAGTAAAGAAGATTTCCAAAAAAGGTAAGTGAGGTCCCTTCTGACCACTATCAATTTGCCAATCGTACTCCATAACTGTGTGTCAAATGGTTTTGTAAAAAACACAACATGAGCAGCACCAGGTAAAACCTACACTTCAACGTCTCTGCTTGAATCCACAACCATAAACCTCTAGCTTATTATTTCAGAAAGCATTATCTGAGCTTATTTTACCTTGAAAGAAACAAAATAAGTCAAGGCAACACAGATTAGATTAACACTGAAGCATCAAAGATGTTAGTGTAAGTACCATAAGCCTACAAATGCCCTGGATTAAATGTTAGCATATTTAATTCCACTGATGGCTTTATATTTCAGTGCTCCATGAATCACACTGCCTCCAAAACATTAACAAACCTTCGGTTCAAGCCAGCTTACAATGTTCTTGCATAAAATTTCCTACTCAAAGCGATATAAAGATGTTTGTAGCACCAAAATTGTTTAATTTAAACCCGAAACTAATGTGCTTTTTCCATGAGTAAATCACGAACCCCAATATCAAACGCATTCCACTGTATAATTTCAAAACCATAGGCAAAACCCGAATGTACACATGTAGGCGCAAAAAATTAGGTTTGCTAAACTTGTGTGCACCACCAGGCACCTTTTTTCAGTGTATGTAAACCAGATGTGACAGTTCCATTTTTTGCAAATAGGTGTGACTACGTGTGCGTAAATATCTCCCACTACTCGCACCTTTCTCTTGACCACTATTTCACAGTTACTAGGTGACAAGTTGGTTTATGTTTAAATGTGAATATCGTTTACAATACTGTTCAATTATCACATGATTTTATTACCTGAGATAACGAATCAGTGATTTATAACTGAATTTTTATTGGTTTTGAAGAAAATTTCAACTTTTGGTTCTGCATTACAGTTACGCATTTCTGTTTTGTAAATTAGCCCTCGTATTTACCAACCAGATTTCATGCTGACCAGCTCAAACAAACCAAATAACTTTTTAAAATAGACGACAATACGGTTTTCAGAGGATTCTACCGCCTGTGTTCAAGTATTATTAAGATGCAGCTGGATTTTTATCGTTTTAAGAGAAAACGTTTTACAATTCGTCATTCTGCTTATCTTTTTGGCACGCTTTTGTTTTACTGACCAATTTCCTCAGCTATGACAGCTAAAAATACTCAGGTATTTTACGGTTTTAGGAGAAATGTCGCTGGTAGATCAACTCAGGGAGGAATTGAAAGCCGAAGAGTTGCCCGTCGACGAGCCCGACCTACTGAATGACGACGTAATGTGCGTTGACCTGGAGTTCACCTAAACTTATGACCTAACGTTGTTTACAAGCGCTTAGTTCAAAGCATTAACATTGTTTTTAAGTGCTGCTGTAGTAGTGTCATTTGATTCCAAGTATAGAATGTCATTGGATGGTGCTCGGTTACCATGGTAACTCTAAGAATGCGTACTCTATTGTTTACCGTGTTGGTTGTCACAAAAATGCTTTTCTGTACTTTCTTCCAGTTTAATACTTCGCGCCATCAGCTACCTTGTGCATTGAGTAGTGGTTTCAGCCAAGAAAAAAAGACTTTTGACATAATCACCTAAAGTTGATTTATTCAGAAAGGTAAAATTTCCAGAATTTGTACTTGAAGTCGTGTCTGCAGTCCCAACGTCTTTAATTCAGTCATCACAAATACGGAGTTTTCCTAAATGTCTGAATTATCAGACAGATCAGAGACAAATAACAACTCATGAAGTATTTTGGTCGTTAAGAGGACTGGGATTAAGAGTCGCCTTCTGTGTTGTCCAACATTTAAACGAGTCGTATGTGTTGAACAGGCTGTTTAAAAGGGCAACCTACCACAAACAGACAACCAAATGCGTCTCACAGACTATGCTATCTAACGCGAACAATAACGCCAAGTTTTTATCCTCAGATTATGGAACTACCTGAAGGCACGCAACTCAAGCGTCAGTCAGGCAGCCGCGATGCTGCGCAAGTCAATAGAATGGCGACGTGTGGTGCGACCACGGGAGATTCGCTGCAGCGGATGCTGTCTGAAGCCCGGAACTCACAGCATTGTAAGTGAACCCTCGAGCCGCGTGTTTGCGGGAAGGAAGGCGTGGAAGGGTTGGTGCATTCCTTTCAAATGGCTAACAGTATGGACCTGAATGCGTACTTACTACGGAAATTTGTACTGCTTCGATCCAGGTTCATCCATACTGATGAACAAATCAGGATTCGCTTATTTTTCTTACAAAAATATGCACCTATAGCTCAATTAGTTTCATTCGACGTCAAATTAAACCCCACGAATATTAATTTTATTGACAAGCCAGTGATCCATCTTCCGTGAATTCGTCTATTCGTATTTGAACGTTGTGTTCAGTTGTCAACTCACAACTCACTGGAAGATCATTCAAGATATGTGTAACCATGTATTTGCATTACGAAAAATTTTCAAAATCGTCACCAAAAGACGACTTATCCCGGTCCAGAATCCGCACACAGATATTGTTAGGTGTTTAAATTCTCACACGAAATAAGGAACCCGTGAATATTAGGGGACTCTGCCAAATGAAGGATCTTCCGCATTTAAACCTGCCAAATACTTCCATGTAGACAAATTCCAAGGAGATTACAATTTCCATTGTTGGAACTACGATCGTATGTTGAGCTGAATCCTAGAAGATGAATTATTTCCTAAGATTTTAATGAAGAAAACCGTTGATTTGTTTAAGTTATTTTCTTACTTCACTTATAGATAAAAAACTAGCAAATACGTGATGGTTTTTTTGATTTTTAAAATAATATTACAAATTAGTTGTGGCAGTTTTTTCTGATCATTCGAATCTGTAATGAACTATGGCTACCTGTTGAGTTAACTGCCTCTTCAATTCAACTACGGCCCTAATCGCCAACTCAAAATGCTAAATTTGTCAGTCTACTTATATTGAGCGTTGTTTATTCACGTTTATTTTAAAAAAGCTTCAACTCACAAGTTTGCCTGTTTTGCTTAAAATGAGTTTTTCATAACTCTTTTCGCCCAAAAGCGTCAGGTTGGATTTGATAATGCAGGCCGACCGATCATCTACTCCTCCTTCACTCAAGCTACCACACAAAGAAACAGCACTGCCGACGCAATGGCGCATCTGATTTACGTCCTTGAAAACGCCATTCGGACGATGCCGCCTGGAATCAGTCAGTGGATTCTCGTCATCGATTGCCAGGGTAAGCGCAATTACCAGCATATTTTATGCTCCTGCGAAGTTTCGCAGTTGGTGCCGAAACAGATAATTACGGTAATTTTAGGGTCTAAAATTTGATGGTCACTCTACCAAGCAATTCCGATGGCACCTTTAAGTAGGTCGAAATTAATTTTGTGTGCTCCAAATGCAGAAACAGGGGCGGATTATGCGTGGGTCGTTTTTCGCTTGATGCGTATTATGCGTCGCAGTCTTCTTCATGTCAGACGAGTTTTTTCATTGCGCTTTGGTAAAAAAGTTTCGTGATCTTAGCTCAATCACTTCTGTGATAAATACGACCTCTTGTCCAACTAGGATTCAATGCTTCAGAATGAAGACATTAATTAGGTGTTTGTAAGACGATGGACTAGGCATTCAGGCCTATTTTGCATTTAGTAAATTCACTAAAAGCAAAGCCCATGCAAAACCTTATTAAAACGATTTTCTGCACAAATTAAAGAAATCTGTTCCGATTCTCGCAATAGAAGTACGCTGAATACTGTAGTTTGCATCCGACCAAGGTAGATTGCCCAGACACGTCCTCTACCCTCAAGTCTACTCACGACAGTGGACGACTTCATATTGCAGTATCTAAGATGCCTTCTGGTTCAACTTTTCCAAATGTTTATAACGCTGATGTTTATAAAAATGACAAACAAATAAGCGTAGTTTATCTTCACTTGGCTTTCATCTCGGTTTTTTTAACTCATGGCAAAAACCATACCTTGTTGTAACTTTAATTGCTTCGTTTTAAAATTCTAGATTTTTGCATAACAGAGTTAAGATGCGAATATTACGTAGATGTATTATTTATTTTGTTCCGGAAATCACCCTAAGGAAATGTTTTGACTGGGTTTTAGTAACAGAAAGGAACTTCTGTATTTTACTATCGAGTTTTGCCAACACCAAGTCTCTTGAGGAACACACTACTTATTTTAAGCATCTGTAACTGAAAGTTTAAATAAAATATCTTACCTACTACTAGAGGGTTGGAATTAACACGTAAATAAAAGAACAGAATATGTCAAATTCATTTTGGTGACTGTAAACTTAGTGTACACCACTTCAATTGACGAAATTATATCTCCAGATTTTGATAAGTCGCGTTAAAGATGCGTTTGATATCGCGTACTTCAGTATTAACAATTAATTTGTCTAAAATATGTTTGGCAAAGAATACAATCGGTGCCATTAGCTTGAATTTATGTACACTTTTATCATCGGTTTCTTGTTTGTGAAAACGAAAATTAGGCAAGCAGCAGCCTTTACGTTGCCTTTCTTTGGAATCAAAATTGGTGATGTTTACAAATAGGAATTTTCAACTCTAGCGTTCCCTTGATTTCATCTCGGGGTACATCGAATTCGCGTTGAACAAGGGACTGAAATACCGTAGCATTTAACTGATCTTGTTGCGTTTTGGTAGCGTAAAAGTGACAGCTCTCCTGGTTGATTCGTCTTGCTGATATTTTAACCACCAATCACTTTGGAGTTGGGTAGTCATAACGCATTCTACTTTATCAACATTGGTGGAACTAATTCAAGTTTTAATCCATGTTGTATGACTGCATTTCTAACACCAGTTTAGAAAGGCCAAACCAAAATTAATTGGCCACAAATATGTATAAACCTGTGTTAAAATCCGATTATTTCATTTCTTGGAAAGACTTTATTTCGTAGACCTCACTTGGATGCCCAGAGTAGTTGGATTTTAATTAGATGTGCATTCACTTCTTGGCCAATAAAAAGCGTCCACTTCACGAATCCCCATTCTGCTGAGTCCCTATCAGTCACCCGAGAAAAATCGTTGGAAATTTAATTTAATATCAATTTAAACGTGTTAAAATAGCGTCGTCTTATAAGGTGTCTATTCGGTATACCTAAAATCATGGACACTCAGCTTGATTAGCACGAGGCGTCGGCGCCGTAGCAGCTGCGCCTTTCGTACAGAGGGCCGCATGCCTCGCCGCCATAGCGCGAGGGTCTCTCAATGGCCCGCAGACGGATCTGTTGGCCTCGCTGGCTGCTGCAGCGGACAGAGCACGGGCCCCACGCACCCCACTGCGTTACGCGGCAGTCCTGTCTGGGACTCACGCCCACTTCCAGACCGTCTGGCGCCTCCTCGTCGGCGTCGGTCGCGTTGGCTGCGGCCTTTCGTGACGCCGTGGCCGAACGCACCTTGGCCAGCAGCTGCGAATGACGCAGCTCATTCGGCATGCAGGCCGCCATGCAGGCGGTGTGATTGGCGAAGCGATTCGGAGTTCCACCGCATCCCAGGTAGAAGAAATCGCGACAACGGTTGGTCCGTGAACAGAAATACCTAAATAGAGGATCGAATTCACTCCACGTTAGAACAAACTCAACCAAAACAAATGCCATCACCCTCAAGTACCACAAAACCCCAAGGATTGTTTAAAAACCTGTCGCGCTAACGTAGACCTTCGTCTAGACATGAAGAATTTCTGGAATTTTCAGGCACCTTAAAAATCCAACTGCTAAACCCTGTTATAAACCAATGCTTACGTTTTGCGCACTGGTCAAAGTCACACGTGTACACGTTTGTTGCGCTGAATTGTGTCAGACGCCGTCTTTCAAAATGAAGATTCGGTTTTCAAGCAAATTTACCAGCAAAACGAATTTCATAGAACGAATAAACAAGGAAGCGGGTTTGTAAAAAAAAGTTTTTTTTTAAAATTGGCAAGATATTTCTGCAATGTCAATTGCCCCTGTGTCACCATTGGACGGCAGCGTATCAAGTTTTGGAATGTCGACTATCTTTAATGTGTAAAATTCGCATAATAAAAGAATTTTTAAAACTGATTTAACCAATCAGAAAAAGGAAAAAATGGATACGAAAATCGACCAAATAACGAGTTAAACAGTAATTATGACATCTGGCATAGTCACTTGCCTAACGTCTTGCAAATTTATTAGTACTTCTATTTCATTCTCTGTGAATTAACTTTTGGTCTGTGTATTCATCGTTGTTTATTTTACCAGATTGAATAGTGGGCGTAAGTCGAGTAATCATTAGCTGATCAGCTGTTAATGTCGGCAGGGCTGCAATTAAAACCATAGTTAACACGGGCCTGCTGAAACAAAACAAGGCGATTTCGAATTGACATTCATAGTGTTAACGGCAAATCCTCTTACATCAATCCAATTCCATTAAAAACCATTCTCCCAATTTCACAAAACGATCGAACCTTACTTTGAGAATTGTCATTTTTAAAATTGGCTTGCAGTACAGTGACTCCAATCGTGTATGGTAGCGAAGTGACCTGATTGGAAAACCTTCTAGGCAAACGTTTTTGAAACCCGGTCAAATGACCTAGCTTAATTGCTGCTCGGGTATTATCGGCCACATCTGTTCGTAGGACGCACTTAGTCTAATTAAGCCTCAGTGGTTCGCTTTACGCATTACAACCAGCAGGCGGCTGATGTAACTGTGATTGAGGCTGACTGAGATTTTGTGAATTCGAAGCCGCTGTTCCAACGACACTAAACCAAACCAGTTACCAACTAAAGCAGTCACAAGAAGTCAATAGTTTGCTTCCCACCCTGGTCATTTTAGCTCCATTACAGGTTCAACAGTTTATTGGGGAAAAATTTTCGTGCGTGAGGAGAATCGGGGGTAGATTGATTGGGACACGTAGGGGTGAAGCTGAGGACACACTTGAGTTGGAAATTTGTGAGTAGTCGACAACAGAGGAGCACACCAAACATGTGTGCTAGCATGATGAATGACAACGCCAATAAATGAAAAACTTTTGGCAGTACTCTTTTCGTCGGCCTTCGCTTAAAAATGAAAACGTCTGTGTTTTCAAAAAAAACTATGGATGTTAGGTGATATATCCGTATTTCATCAGGGATTGTCTGGATTTTAAACCATTAAATAGACACTTGATTTATTTACGCAAATCCAGTATCAAGCATCACCTTAAAATGTTATCTAACAGTTCGTGTTCACGTCATTTTGTTAATTAGAACTAGCTCCATGAAAAACCGTCACCTAACGAATTCTACATCGCTAAGGCGTTTACTAGTACAAAAAATAACATAGTTAACGTTTACTCTTTCTCAATAAAAATATCCTGATATAAAACTGGAAGCAGTAGGTTTCCTAAGATTTCGACTTACATGTTCGTACGTCATGACCCATTATCAGCTCAATTGACTCAGTCGATTATTGCTGTTCCGATATCAGCGATCTTTTTATAACTTTGGACGCCTCTATGACAATTTGCAACGTGGAATGTAGAGGGATGTAATGTTGGTTGCTAAGATGAATGTACGAAGCGTAATTGGTTTAAGCAGTTCCGTTCTTGATATTTTTCTTCCAACGTTTGGCAGCCACAAGGCCATCATTTTAATCTCATAATCAATCAAGATGTGTTAGAGCTTGCAAAAGGGTCCTAGATACAGCACCCACAAATCAGAATCACTTTCGTTGTCGTGAATTCGTCAAGGAGCTCGATCAACGTGAGACCCTCCTGAATCGAGAGAAACCCTCTATATACCTCTCATTGCCACTTGTCGTAGGTGTCTCTGGCGCATTCCAATTGTCCGTTTTCGAACTGATTCATCGCCACCGACAATTTGTTGGATTGTCTGCTGAAACACCAATCGCAAATGATCGCAGTCTGAGCGGGGTGAACCATCACCGATCACATCGAATGCTTCATTACACCTGAATACACGTGGGATGCTACGTTGGTTGCGTTGCAACCGTGTAGTGTTGTATGTTGGCGTTTGCAGCCAAGCAATCATTCCAATTGTTTACTTTCAACACCCAATTAAACAGGTTTAAAACATACAAAGAGAACGTTGGCTAATCCCAAGAGAGTTGAATTACACGAAGGGGATGCAAGGCCTCACACACGCCGGCAACTGACGAAAATTTACAGGAGCTTGGTTGTAAAGTGAGATCTCATTACTCTGATAGGCATTTCCCTGCATTTTCACGTGACTAGAAAAAAAGTGGACATGAGCCTGGCGAAATTATGGTAAAGGTTCGTAGGCAAAGTGGAAGACACAAAAGTGATTAATGTCCCTTCATTCCGTCAAAGATGTTGGGTTTTATGTAGCACGACAAATTGTGATTTCCCCGCCAGGCAACCCATTGTAATTTTGGGTTTCAGTACCCTGAGTGTGTGGTCTGAATCCCACTTTAAATTTTGATAAATCACGTGACTAATCGACAGTGATGGGTCTCATGTTCTCAGACCACTTCGCAGAGGAAATCCATGACAGGCCGCAAGTTAAATCATTTGACCCACCAGTAATTCCCGAGTTCCTTTGGCGGGTCACACTCGTAGCCGGTGTTAACCTCGTAGTAGCACACCGGGTCGCGCTTGAGGCTGTCCTCGAGGTCGTCAGGCGAGGACGAGGTCAGCTGCGAGGTCTTGAACTGCAACAGACCCATCCTCTCGCGTCGCCACGCCGGCAGGGCTTCAACTGCCGGAATACAGAGCTTCTCGCAGTCCTGCTTTGTCTCGAACATGTTCCTCCCGCCCTTGCATCCAAGATACTCAAACTCAAGGCATTCGTGGTCTATAGCACTAAATATCAAAACGCCATGGTTACCACGGTATGTCGCTCCTCAAAATAACTGATCGTTTCCACACCCAATCATGCTGCAGCGAAAAAGACTAGAAAGTGATCTTAACCGCCACACTTTCCAGCGTTATAAGAACTTCTTGAAGAAACAAGTTGGCATTTAGTAATATTTCTGATTCTACGTGAACTCCTGTCCTAGGAATACTCTAGCTCTGGCGCTGTACCATGAACATCTTGTCATGCTCTGGAAATAGTAAAAATTGGCTTGGCAAATTTGGGAATAACGGGAGACGTGATGAGTCAGTTGTGCGAGAACAACCGGGAGTGTTTAGTTCAACTTTGCTGCATCTAAAGAGAATTTATTTGTAGTCTAAAGGCTTGATCGACCTGTCGCTTATTGCTACACACACCGAGGCCTTCAACAGTTCTAGTTTCGAATTCACAGATTATCGAAAAGGTAAAAAAGTCCATGGACGATAAAGATACAGCAGTTTGCCAAATGACTCGACTCACAACTGGGTCACAAGACTAGTTACACGCTGATCTTGACGGGCTTCATGTATTTTAAGGCGGGACTTGTCCTGAAAGGTTCTCACTTGATGGTCCTTTTTTCAAGAATATTGGAGGTAAATTTTAACACCCGGCTCATGTACCAGGAACTAAACACGGATGGATTAAATGTGCGGGCTTCGCATCGTATTTTGTGGACGAAAGAACCTCTTTTTAAACTATAAACCATATTTGCCTTCCGATAGCATTGTTGAGGCAATCTTGCGTCCCCAAAGCAGCAAATTTGATAAACTAGCTATGGCACAGCCCAGTGTTGCGTTCTACGTGCACCCACGAGATTGTTATCTTTTTGTAGACAGCGGGCAATCTAAATACTTAGATATAAATTCAGTAATAAATTACTTAAAGCTATTTTTGTAGTAGGGGTTTTTTGCACGATAGGGTACATAAATGAGGGAATAGAAAGTAAGGGCAGTAGCAGGGTTCGAACACGGATCACTCGTAGCTGCACGTCAAAATTTGCAGTAGATTCTCACAGGAATGATATTTTATCTAGTGAGATCCTGGACAAATACTTAAAAGTCAGAGATTTGTACGAGAATGGCGGTTATACCGATAAATGCTCATACGTATTCTCTTAAACAGTGTGGTCACTGAGTCAGATGGGTTACTGGAAGAAGAGAATTAGCTGGGGGTTTGAACATGCGCCGACAACGATGACTAACGTGAATTTTATAAGATCTACTGCATAGCTAGCGAAACCTGTGGAGAAAACCACCAAACGCAGCAGACAACCAACTAGATGCCACGTGTCGTTAGGGTGCATGAGTGGGAAAGTTAAGCAACACTAATTTCGCTAGGCAATCTCCATCACAGAAACCTATGAGCAGTAAAAATGCGCTTAGGTATGTCTACATAGCATTTGAGGTCCCAAGTGTTACCTGTAGTAGAAGCGCCGAAGCTTTGGGCCGCAGGGGTAGCCCTGTTTGGGACCCTCGCCACAAATAGTCGCTGGTTCGCACGTCTCAGAGGGGACCTGGCACTCTTCCACCTCGGACATGATGCCTTGCTCCCGACCCTCCTGGTTCCTGCCCTCCCACAGATGCCCGCACTGCGCAGCCTCTTCCGGACGAGCGAGGGCTCGTTTCCGGCTTCGGTGGCCCCGCGGGGAGTCACAGGTGCCGGTGCAGGGCGACCACAGGGTCCAGGGCAGGAGACTGCACGGCGCGCTGTAATCGCACGTCCGTTTTCGACCCTCGCATGACTGCAACATCAAATGTCATTTTAGTCAATTTCATAGTTACTCACATGCGAAACAGTAAGTCTCACGGGCCTGTCACTTGGTATGGTTTTGGACTATGGAAAAGCGCATTTTTTGACCGGTACAATGGAGTCTGATGAGAAACATATATGCTAAAATATTTTTTTGCATTTAAAGAGACGATCCACGGCTATCCGTATCGAGTAACAGGTATTCAGCGAAGCCGGAAGTGAGAAATTAGGTGAAATGTAGGATGAAGTTCATTCATTGAGATACGCAAAATTAAACAGGGAGAATGGAGAGGGCAAGAGTCAACTGAGTCGAGTTTGTGACTGGTTGTTTGTAGGTAGGACGAATTCGAACTATCATTGTAGAAAGTCCCCTATGGGTAAATGCTTTGCTGTTAACTTCATCAGCAAAGACTTATTTTGATTGGTGGTCTCTGGTATGGGAGCTATACCTACGAATGTTTTACATTTATTTGATCAAACTTGCTTATTTACATTGAAATCTACCTATTATACATTGTTTTTTACTTTGAATTTGTTGGCTAAAAGTTATTCGGACCTTTCGTTTAATCAATGAACTTGTGACTGATCTGTCACAAACCCACCTAATCGCAAACATCCAACCCTGTTTTTTTTAAAAGGAAATAGGAAATCTAATCAAATTACCCAACGGACATTTAAGTATTCATTATCCATGAGTTTTGTTAAAGGATTAACAAGTTATTTTCTAGGAAAATGGTACCTTTTACAATCCTACATGTCCAACTTCCTGTCTGTTATCCACCGCCGTCTGGTGAGAATACAGGCTTTCAATAATTTGAGAAAAATACATAATTTGCTTTCACTTTAGACAACTAAATAAAGGAGATAGCAATTTAGGTCATCCCAGTATCAAATATCTCAATTAACCCTGCTAGCAGATTGCAATCAAGTAATTTCATGATTTCCACCGGTTCCTGTAAATTTATTTCATCACAAGTAGACATGAGTGCTTACTCGCAGAAGTGTAGTAAGGTTTGCGTTAGTTATACTAGACTAGAGATTTCCTTGTACAAACCAGGAGCTTCCATCTGGAATTTGTCTCCATTAATTGACTGCCGCCTCAGTCGTTCTCTCCGCATAAAAGGGAGTTCATTTGTATATGTCACTGAATTTCGGGCCATGACGTCTGTTAATTAACCGCAAAGTAGAGATCGACAGCTGTGTGACGGCAAGAACGAATTAGCTTCGTGTTCAGCGGGCTCGCACACAACTCACCTCCTCCATGACAAGCGGGACGTGCTGGCACAATTCGGGCTTCTTGTTGGCGATGAGGCGGCGAGTGCGCGTCTTCGTACCGACGCCGCAGGTGACGGAGCAGGCCGACCACGCCGACCACTCGTCGGTGATGCACAAGAACGTCGCCATCTGGGCCAGGCTGGGGTCCGAGAGGGGGTTGTTGCTGCCGATTGTTCCGCTCGCTCCGGGCCCGCCGAAACCCACCGACTTGGTCCGCTTGCCCTTCTGTTTGCCCGCAGTAATCTTAAATTGAGCGTGTTTTAGGTGCAGTTAAAACTTCTCAGAGTGATATCCGACCGGTCTACGCGTTTTGCGATGGTCAATTTTCGGTATTTGGTTGATTAAATCCTGTGCGTTTTGGAAAGGCTAGTTGATCTACACATCTGTAGGAATTTATCCAAATTCTACTCCACACTGCCTATTAGATGCCTTATTCGAGAAATGATTGGTGTGTTTGTCAAAATGACTTTCATCTGACCATTTATGCTGTCTATGATTGACAGCGACCTGTTCCACGTGATGTGCTCGAAATTGATTTTGCCCTAGCTTAAAAGTTTCGACAAATGGGTATTAGGAAACCGCTAAAGCGAATTTCGTAGTATATATTCAGCAAAACCCAATATGATCAACTATTTTGCTAGGCAAGTTCTCCTTGAGCTGCCAAAGACTATCCCGCTTCCACTGTTGTACAACGCTGTTCGCGGGCCTTTTCTTCAATAATTAAGCAAAAAATGATTGGCCAAATCATTTCCATGCAATGCGGCGTTACGTAAATTCTCGTAGCTTCCTCGTCACAAAAAATTCGCAAGTTACTGACGCACGGGCCCTGCAACGCTTTTGTTGGTATTTTTTTACACAAATTCCATCTTCTGGCGAAGTTTGGGCTTAGTTTTTTATCTGTTGAACAATGATCAATCGCCTCTTGAAGTCCTGTAAAAATTATAGCTTTGAGACACCCTACATGTCCAGTTATGAATGGGATCAAAGAGACTGATATTTGACCAGATCCATTGCCTAAATTTCATTTGAAGAGATTGTGGCGATCAGGAAGCCAGCACAGTTAGCATTCGTGGGCGAAAGCAGTTTGCAGGCGCGAGTGAACACTAATCAATCGATTTTTCGTGCACGAACTGTATTGGACAGACACCCACCGCGCGCGTGAGTGCTGCGTGTATGGCTGTCCGACTGTATCAATGACTCACCCTCTTTGTTATTGGCCCTTGTTAGTAGCCCTTGTTATTGGCACACAAAAAGCTAGTTACTCGATTTCACTCGACTGTTCTGTCGTGACACGAATAACCGGTCGCGTTCCCTGTCGACTGTCCTCTCTCTTCTCGGGTTGTGACCGGCCGTCAACTATAGGGTTTTTCGGTAGTGCTAATTTCGGCCGCTACAAGATCATTACCAGACTTGTTTCAATCCAATTTTGCAAGTTCCAATGAAAAGTTATCAAAGGTTTCCGACGACCGAAGTTATTTTGACATACTACTTGGCATTTTTGGTGTTAAAAGCTTCTAGAATCGGTGATTCGCCTAATAAATGCGGCTTGCCTGCTGAGTCGCTGAGCCACCCTTTAGACTGGACTCGTCTGATTCCTTGTCGTTCTTTTTGCCAGTCACGTAGATGCCTCCACCCATTTTGAAAAGCTGGACGCCGTCTTCATCGGTGTTTGTGCACGCCCAGTCGTATTTCGGGCGAACGCGTTGTATTTTAACAACCGCAACGGGCTTTCTTTCACGAAACGGGTTGCCAGGCATCCAGCTCTCGTCGATGTATCGAATCGGGTCGGGTATTTCCCGTCTGTCTGATTCCTTTGGCATGTAAGTGTTCCCCTCCCGTATCCCTGCGTCCCAGGGGTAGAGGTGGAGGGTGAGGTTGTTCACCCAGGTGCAGTCCGCCTTGCACAACGACTGGCCGGAGATGCCCGTGCACCAATCAGGACTTGGGCCCAGCATGGTGAGCATCGAGACAAGCGGGTGGGTTCTGTTCACTGAGAAGAGCGTGGAGCGCTCCTCCATCAGCGTCTCCTCACCCCACATTCCGGGAGTAGTTATGAGCGATCGAAGTGGGCTCACATCCGTAGTCGCTGATTGGCTACCGGTCGGTACCCCTGCAGCGCCTTCAGCCTTGGAGGCAGCCAATGAAAGGGCCTCACGAAGTATTGTTGTATCTCCATACGCGCAGACCGACTGTACACCAGCGCTGGCGGTTTGACCAATTGCGTAGATCTGAAAACTGGGAGCGTGACTTGCGCCAATGAGATTCGTCCAGTGGAGCAGGTTCGGGTGCTTGTAGGGCCAGTCCTGGGGGTGTGTTGTGCTGTTCCACACACCCTGGAAGGTGAGCTTGTATGTGGCGGTACCGCATGCGCAGCAGTCCTTCGGCTGCATGCTGTCGCGTGGACGCATTTCTACTGGGTCCGGCGCGGGTCTGTCAAACTCCCTAGATGGGTCTATTGCGTCCGCATCCACTGAGCCTCGGTTTTCTGACAACACGGGTTCCATCGGACGCATTTCGCTTGGACACAAGGTTTTTGTTAAATCACCTTAAATCAATTTAGAAATTTATCAGGCACGAATTTCACATGCACTCCAAATAGATACCAATCAGTGTCAGCGACATCTGTTCTGTATTCTAAATTCTACCATAGATCACAGAAATCTCTACAGAGGCTACTCGAGTCTAGTGTTCGAGTATTCCAACATTAAAGTCTTTGGTAGTATCGCAGGGTGGAAAGGTTAATGCCAAATCTCCACTGTGCATAGCTAAGGAGACAATCTTCCACTGACTGGAAAATGCCAGATAGGTAGCTTACCCACTTCCTTCAAAACAGAGGTACTACTTTTGACCATTGCGTGGATGGTGACACAGTTTGAGGTGTTGGTGCTGGGCGTGCGCCAGATGGCCACAACGTGCGGCAGCTGCCTCGTCATGCGCGAGCGACTGCCTCCATACTTCTCGATGGCCAGCCCCATGCACCCGGGTCGACTGCGTGTCGTCACGTGGCCGGCGTAGCGACTGCGACGCCTCAGTCGCCATGGTGACTGACCAGAGCTGCTCGGAAGCCGTTGGCTGGCGCTGGGACGACTGCTCACCGTGTGGACCCAAGACCCAACACACCGCACTGGCATCACATCGCAGTCGTCGGTGATTGTCTGTTGAAAAAAGAGAAAGAATTTGATGTGCCGATTCCATCATTGCTCTTAAGGGGCTAAACGAATGTAGGTCATCAATAAGGGCAAAAAATTGACGTGTATTAATGACGATGAGTTCACGCCAACCTTTAAGATATGTCCAATTTTGTCACAACGCTGTTCAACACCCAATCTTCAGATATGGCAGAAAATTGTACTTTTAAGTCACCAGCAAAGTTAAAACTTTGTGTTTTTTGACTTGGAGGATTTAGGAAAATCGTCTTAATATTTTACTATGGCAAATAGACTGTTATTGTCCTCATAAAATGTGGTTTTTTTTGAAAAATTTACCTGAACGATCACAAAATATCCATTTCCGGCTGTAAATGTACCGAAATTTCGACCTTGAAGGTTTTTACCAGTGGAGGTCTATCTAAGATTATTAGCTTAACTGGTAAGCGCTGCAGAATAATCTCTCGCGCAGCCTCCAAGATCTTGGGGGATGCTTATTCTGTTGGTCTAGATACTATGAAATTCCCATATTTCTAACGCCTTAAACTTTGTTGGTGCTATGCAGCAGATAGCAATCACAGCTTCACATTGATCAAATCTGTGCATAATGCCAAAGTGGACTGAAATGTCGCCTTCAATACCACCAAAACGGAGACAAAGACTGTGGATAGACAAACCATAGGCACTACTGGTTCGCCCATTTAACTTTTACGTGAGTGTGGCCACTGCATTATTTCCGTCTTCGAACCATGATATGTGCATAATAAGGAAATTCGCAATGGTTGGCTTACTTTCTGGCTATGTGCTGAGTTCATTGTCATTGGCTCACTTGGCGTGAGCCACAGCAGAAAGTCGTCGAAAGTCATCAACGGCAGCTGATTCTTCAGTGTCACGATGTACTCCTTCTCCGGCTGGAACCAGTTGCCCACCATAGCCCCGTCAATGGACCTCCTCACTGTGATCTCGAAACCGTCATCGTGGGATTCCGAGGGGTACACGCTGCCAGATCCCGATCCCGGAAATCGAAGACAGTGTTCCGGGAGAGTGAAGTTGCAGGTGGCCAGTAACACTGCACCCAAGAGCAAGGTGAACACAACCGATTGCACGGCCATTGTACTGTCAACTGAACCCGTTCACCAAGAAAGGCACCACTAGGCCAAATAAACTTTAGAGGTTCTCTCAGGTGACGGTGTTTATGTGACGGTTGGTTGGTGTTGGTCGAGTGTGCTAACAACCGGGTCTTTCTCACGGTTCGTTTGCACCATAAAGAACGCACTACGACGTCAACACTTACACCCAACTGCAGTAATGCCAGATAAGATATTTAGTTAGTCCGCGACTCCTGTATCCTCTACACGGTGGCCTAGATATAACCGTGCCCTAATTATTGTAAAAATTCCAGATTAATTGAACAAAATTTCATTATAAATGATTTCAATGTGAACGACTTAATGCAGTACAGATAAGACATCGTCGTGTACCAGATGGTTGAGTGATAACCGTGGAGAAAGTATGCATTTTGCAGATTATTACGCGGCACTGCAAAAACGCTCGTGGAGACACTTTAAACAGGCGTCAATTATGGACAGGGCCAGCATCCTGTACGTTGAGACACTGTTAGCCGCAACTTGCCGTGGTGATATGATTTGGCCATCCCTGTATTATCAAAGAAATGCGGATTTCTCAGTTCTGTGCTTGTAACTGCCAACCCAGAGAGCTATACTAGGCGAATTGAGCTCTTGTCTCAATGTGACACGTCGATTTGAAGCCTACCAACGAACACGGTTTCGTCAATTCATCCAAAGAGTCAGGAAAATCTTCACGAGCAGCCGAAACGTTGCACCCAAACCTTGATTAAACTATAGTTCGTAATGTTCTTGGCGCACCAGGTTCGAACCCCCTTGAAAATGCTGCCAGTTTTTCTTTTAAATTGCGCAAGATTTTGATTTTTCAGTGAAGATGGTGGTCCATAAAATGGTTCACTCCAGTTATCCCCAACAGGTTTCAAACTCTGGCCCTTTGAGTGGTGATTTTTAACGACACGAGCACATTCGTCCCAAATGAAAGTGACGATAAGTTACTCAAAATTGGCTTAAATAAAGGCAGAGCCATATTCACTAAAACTGATATGTACATGACCTGCGCATGATCTTTATGTATGAGGTCTTCGTTTTGATCTTCTGTTGCAGGAACCTGGGTCAAAAGTTTGACCTATTTATTCGTACGATTTGATGACAATTAGGGTTTGGTCGCATCTGCATCACGCCTTGCAAACATCGGCAGTGTCATGAATAAGAAAACGTCTGTTTCTGGCCTTTTTCAAGTCACGGAACGCATATCTGCCGTCGTTTGCATCCATTTTATCTCTTCTGTACTCCAAGATGCCGTTGTCGCACGTTTTAGTAGCGGCGCTTATTGGCGCACACTGTGGATGGTCTTGGTGAAATTAGTCTTTGATGTTTCACGTTTTTTCAGACCCCTGTGTTTTGCGTAATTTGAGATTAATAATTCTTGCTTGGCCTAATGTTTCTTCCCAAATATTTCAGGGAACTTAAGTGCCAGAAGGTCACATTTCAAATTTGCATCAGAGTGCAGGCTTGGCTTCATGAAGCTTACAAAATTTTTGCAAAATATTAACATTTTCAGCGCAATCTGGATTGTTTTATTGGGAACAACTGCCTGGGAGTAGTCATTTTTGTGAGGCAAGAGACTATTCTCAGAGTAGGTGAAGCGGTCGGGGTGGTAGAGTTGGTGACTAGGCGGCAAATTATTTAACTCTTGAAAAGAGTTGTGTGTGGGACTCAATAAACGCATTTTGCAATGTCGCAGCTTAAAAGCTCTTTAAGGCAGTCACTTCGCAGGACGCTGCTGAACTGGTTTCCGATCAAAAACTGTTACTTGACCTGGCAAATACTTGCGGCTATCGTTGTTTACCTTTCTGTTTGACAGCGCGAGGTGCTGTTTTGTTGGCTTCAAATATCATCGAATATGTGCGTTTTACTTAATTGGTACACCTCTACATGCAAAAAGCAAGAGCAATTAATTCACCAAAACCAGATTTAAACCCAAAATTATTCGTTTGCTCATTTCATATATTTTCGACAATTATTTCGCAGCCCTGTTTCTTAATTTCTAGAGAAAGTGACACACGCACAGTTGACCTCAGATAACCAAATGTGGTTCCCCTCACTTTGGTGTCTTCTAACTTCTAATAGCAAAAATATTATCAACCTTTTATCATAGACATGAAAATATTTGGGTAATTTAAAGAAGATGAATGCGTAATTTAAGTTGTGACTTAGAATGACCTGACTTTAAGAGAGACATTTTGATTACGATGTTAAACAAACCTCAACTTCAACTCACTTTTATGTATCCCGTTTTTTCCGACTAACCTTTTCCATATTTTAACCATTTTTTCGTTTCTGCACTCGTGCAACCAGCTTTTGTCTGTGGCTTCAGTTCATCATTCAATGCGGTTTTGCAAATTCAAAAAAAACCTGTTATGTGAAAGTGCAAGAAAAAGTCCATCAGAGTGATAATACCCCACTTTATAACTAAGCTCCTGTAAATTTTCGTTCGTTGTATTCCCTTGGTGTAATTCAACTCTCTCGCAATTAGCCAACGCTCTCCTTATGTCTTGAACCTGTTTAATTGGATGTTCGAAGTAAACCAATGAAATGATTGCCTGGCTGAAAACACAAACATACAACACTACACGTTTGCAATCCAAACAAAGTAGCATCCTCCGTCTATTCAGGTGTAATGAAGCATTCGATGTGATTGGTGGCGGTTCACCCCGCTCAGACTGCGGTCATTTGCGATTGGTGTTTCAGCAGACAATCCAACAAATTGTCGGTGGCGATGAATCAGTTCGAAAACGGACAATTGGAATGCGCCAGAGACACCTACGGCAAGTGGCGATGAGTGGTGTATAGAGGGTTTCTTTCGATTCAAGAGGGTCTCACGTTGATCGAGCTCCTTGACGAATTCACGACAACGAAAGTGACTCTGATTTGTATTTTCTGTAATTAACAGCACTGATGGCCTTAAGTTCTTCTCATCCTGAGCTCAAACTTTAGGCGAGATATCCCTAGGTCCAGTTATGACACATATATTAAGCTAAACAATCAACACTGCAATTCTTGTCATTATTTCATTGTGAGTCACAGCGGCTTTCATTAATTCTCCATATTTTCAAATTGACTTTTAACATCTGTAGCAGCCTTAGAATGGCTTCAAAATTTAGCTATTTATGACATCAATTGGGTCTTAGCAGAAAAATAGAACAACGCTTTTGTGAAAAAATGAGGTATTTATCTTGCCAGGTGAATATATTTGCAATTTGGAAATCATGAATCCCTTCGTAGTAGTTGGATTTGCTGACCATAGTACGCAGCGCTATTTTCATTTAGTCAATATGATGACGTTTGCACACTTCACTTAAGTAAGCTAAAACATCCGCTTCCTTTTCACTTCACCTTCGTGCACTTTTGTAAAATTCACAAACTTCGGTATCTGTCTCATATTTACTAACTGGGCTCGTGCCTAGAATGGCGCCATCAGTGGCCTCGCGGTCAGCGTTTAGATAGTTTTTTCCGAGAACACCGTGCTTCGCACCACCGGCTACGCGTGTGTGGGGCTGTTTTGTCAGCACAAAATACAAAAGGTCGCTTTTTTCTAAATAAGTCTGCCAAAGAATAAAAGCTTCTTTAAGCAAATTTACGCTAAAGGACCTGCACGGCAGTGGCATCGATCGGTGCTTCAAACGCAGCCACGTGTCCAGTTGTCGCGTAAGACGAGGTTTACAGGAAATACTTAATGCCAAGTCCCGGCTCTTCACCGAAGGGGTCCAAAGGCAAGTCCAAGAGCAAGTCCAAGGGCTCGGCCAAGGGCAAGTCCAAATCCGGCCTGAGTCCCGAGGAGCTGGAAAAGTTATGTTTCGGCCGAAGACGTTACGACAACTTGGAGGCGGTGTTCATTAAAAAGTCCACTAACATTGTCCTGTTTTGCGACAAGATTCACATCTATGAGGTGTGGCATCGACTGCCTGTGCTTTTCACGGAGGAGGCCGAGCCGGGTAGCGGTGGGGAGAAAAGCGGTTCAAAGAAGGGTTCGAAAAAGAGTCCAAAAGGTTCAAAGGACAGCCCAAAGGGTTCAAAGGGCAGCCCAAAGGGTTCCAAGGGTTCCAAGGGTTCCAAAGGAGGTAAAGGTTCAAAAAAATCCAAAGGTTCAAAAGGCTCCAAGGGTTCAAAACAAAAAGGCGCACCTGCAGAAAAGACCTACGACGAGCCCATCTTCGTGGACGACAGACCCGAGTTGGGCGAATACGACAGAGCCAATCTGGTGGGTGCTGTGGCCTTTCCAAAGATTCTCTGCAAAAACGGATATAAAATTTTTGTTGAGATCACTGCAGATTTCGCGTACTACGACTACGGCAAGGTTCCACCTTTCCCCGAAACAGTTGTATGCAAAAGAAGGTGCTACAGGGATCATTGCTACATTTATCCCTATAATTTTGATCAAATGGCACCCTACTCAACATTCGCGCAAGAAATGTTACTAAAGGTGAAGCACGAGTATCCTAGGGGCTGGCAGCTAGTCCCGTTCGTGTTTGACCTCACCCGTAAACCCGACTCCTTCGCTTTCTCAAGGCCGTACTACGCAGAAAACCCAACAGGCCTTCACTGGAATGTGCGCGCGTTCGTCGGAATGACCGAGTACTGTATTCCCCCACCCGAAAATGAGGTCTCAATGGCGTTTTACAAATACACAATCACCCCAGCATCAAGGCCCCTAGCCATCCGACCCTCAATCACCATCGAGTACAATCGATGGTTGTGTCTAGAGGATCAAGGCTCCCTTGTACTGTCGGCCACCCTCGATAAGGACATTTATTACCACGGTGAAGAGGTAAACATAAGCGTTCAGATCTCTAATGACTCAATGCGGCATTCGGTGACAGCCATCAGTGTCTATATTGAACAGACCTACACGTTCCACTCGCAAATACCCCACGACAATAGTATTCCGCTAGTGGAGACTTTTGCTCAATCTGGCCAGCTGGGACTGCCCATTGGACCGAAGAACAAGGGCTGGTTTAACACATTCACCCTCCGTCCCGTCTATGACCCCTACAAGTACAATCTTGCGTTAGACGGACGAATGGGCAGGGACAAAAAGATGTTTCTGGCCGAAAGCTCTGTAATTATGCGAAGGGATCTGGTACTAGTTGACGTTCCACCGCCAGAATCAGATGGAGATAAAAAGGACGGAAAGAAAGGCAAGGGCAGTGGTAAGAAGAGCAAGTCTGAGGGCAGTAAGGGCTCCAAATCGAAGGACAAGAAGAGCCCAAAATCCAAGGAGAAAAGTCCAAAATCAAAGGGAGGCAAAGGTGGCAAATCCAAGGGCAGCAAAGGCAGCAAGGGCAGCAAACAGAAGGGCTCCAAAGGGGAGGAAGCGGCCGAAGAGGAAATCCCCGTGGACCCCGAGTGCATAATGCCGAATTTCCGCGAGGTGAATGTCTTCACGACGAGACAGGAGTGTCGAATTGTCAACATCTCCTACCAAGCCGTGGTGAGGCTGACCCTGGGGGACGAGGCGGGTCACCCCATCGTACGAGTCCCCTTTGTGCTGACTCGAAACTCACGCTACATCGACCAATTGCCAGAGAGAATGCCACCGGTTTTCGCACAGTGGGAGATGCACTGACGCACGTCTTTGTGTAAATGCGTATGTTCTGAGGAGCGATTTTGCAGATATGCAGCACATGCCGTTGCCTGCAATAAATGGGAGTCATTTCAGGCACTTGTTAGCACAATCACCTTTATCTGAGTAAATTACTAGTCGTTTCTTAGTAGGCAATCATTTCGGCAAAAGGCGTTTGATCAATAAATAGGATTAAGTGGTTATAAACTATGTCTCTGGATTCCAGCATATCATGCATCGTTTCCGTCCTCCTGATACGTAGCTCTCGTTTTTGGATTTTGGCAAGAGCGTCAACTCTACACATAAACAGCAGAGCATGAGTAATTGTTAAATTGAAAAAAATTATCAACTGGTTAGAGGAGGTGGTTCTATACGGTGGCGCTTGTTCGTAGGTTAAGCAAGCCATTGATTCGATAAATAACAGCCAATCAGTTTTGAGTATCTGTCAAACGTAGCGTCGATGCTGCGTAATTAATTAACGAGGTTTGTATTTTGAGGATTTTTTACGTGTTACACAGCACATGCCGTGAATTTGTATTGGTTGAATTCAGGGGTGCTGGTTTGGCAGTGGGTGAATTGTGGTTTGAAGACCAAGTTCGTCAAGAGTGAGTGAAACCGGTTGTTGTTGAATGTGAGGTGGATCAAAGCGACTGGTCGTTGTCTAGACTGGGCGAGGTAAGTGATTCAGCTATGGCATTCTACCTTCACATAAGACGTCGGCGACGCAAACCATTTCACCAAGTCGGGTGTCTGACACCTCCATTGTAGACTGACCAATTTTCGGAGACATTAGATTGGATAACACTGACGTAAAGCTTTAGGGCTGTGAATGTGTAGACTTTTTGAAAATCTTAAGCAGTTTGTACAGGAGGAATGTATATAAGTAAAATTTTGCCTGACAAGGCTATGCTGACAGGCTTCGACAAATTTTGGCAGTTCGAGGAATAGAAATTGAGTAAATTATAATCTTAATATCAAGCAACGATTTCCACGGATGCACTTCAAACTGTTCTGGTGATTCATTTTCAATCAAATTATTTATCAAGTATTATTCAACTGCGTCCTGAACCATAAAAGTCTATTTAAGTTAGCCTTTTGTGCTTGCAGAGTCAAGATTTAATATAGACTATGAAAGTTACATTTGCGTTACTACATGTAATGCTCTGTGTGTTGGGAATTGAGCAAAAAACATGCAAGGTTCATTTCAATCGTGCTCCTGCAGTTAAGACATTAAAATGTGGCTCAACAGGTTCCTTAATGGTGACCCTAATCTGAACGCTTAACTGCCTACTGGTTTTGACAATGACTTAATCCATGATTAAAGGGATTACAATCAATGGGTTATGAATGATGAGATTACCGAGCAACTGGCAGCTGCTGATTTAATGGTATTTTTATATTTGAAGCCACCTGGAGCTCGGTAAATGGGCTCCACGTGCTTTGACAGAGCGAAACAAACTTAATTCTGCTTTCACGGCCATCTTTCTCCTTCGTCGTCAAGAAAATGAAAATTTCATCGCATAGGCATACTTGGGGATGAGTAATTGTTTGCGTATACCGTGTTTTGTGTCTAATTTGCAAGCTTCTTCCACGTGACCAAGCAATAATTGCGGAGGAATGCTATGAGCACATTACCCAAGTTAATATTAAAATCTAACTAAGTAACTATAAACCTGGTTGGATGAGAAGACAGTAGAACGTGAGAACTCTTCAAACATCACTCGTCGAGTTGCCTTAAAATGAAACCACCGCAATGTCGGGAAGCTGTACTGGGAAATGGTGGAAACCACATTATTGATTATTAAATAGTGTTCTTATTGTAAATATGTGTTAGATTTGATCTGGTTTCAAATAGGACATAAACTGTTTCTGTCATCTATTAGACTAAAACTCATGAAACATTTGAGTCTGGTCATATTCTCTGATGCGAAAATTTAGGGTCGGGACGTATTTTCAATAGATGGCATTTGTGTAACACAGGAGAATATTCCGCCTCCCGGACACAAAATGCCTCGTTTTCGCGTTAATCTGGGCCACCAGTGAAACTGGAGCATCAGTAGCACAGTTATATTGTATTTGACCACACCCAAAATCATAAATCCCCGATGGAGCTAAAGTTTTGCACGATACCAGCAGGTAAGGACTTAAAACTGCAAAATAAAGATTTGATAACTACGTAGCTGACTTTTGATACGTTGGCTTTTAACATTAGTTTGGCAGAGCAGACTACTAAAATGTATAAAAAAGGTTTGCATATTCGCGAAATGTTTGCCTTCTCGAACCCGTCTAAGCACATCAAATTGCCAAACGGAGTTTAATCTAGCCCGGAGAGGGAGGGACATCCGTTTACCGGATATCTCAACAGCTGTAGTGGTCTGACTTAAAAGGGTTGTCGTTAAATTCCGTCTGGGTGGACCTGTAAAAGTACAAACAGCTGAGCGGTCAGATGGATTAAACGGTCATCTTGGGGATGGTACCCGCACAGTGGTGCATGAGCATGGAAATGAGGTCAGAATGACGAGGAATGAGACAACTGGGTTACTGGACGTGAATCAATACGATTCACTACAGGAGCCCGCATTTTAGTGCTAGCTATCAAAATTTGTCAATTTCATTGAAAGGTGTCATGCATGTGCAAAACTTGCCAGCGGATTTCACTAATGTGTGCTAATCAAGGCTCAGATGACACAGGAGAAAAATATACCTCTTTTTTACATGTTTTTGTTTGTTAAAAATCTCCCTCCTTATTGGATATTTCAGACATGAATAAGTCAGCATTTCATCCGCGCCTCGCGTACGAATGCGTTCAACTCCTGTCGAACCACTACCCTGAGCGTCTAGGCATGGCCCTCTGCGTTATGCCCGGCCCCGCCTTCAGGGGTCTTTGGCACGCGTGCAAGCTCCTCCTTCCACCAACCACAGCGGCAAAAGTCAAGGTCATTCAGTCGAGTGAGAAGTTTCGATTTCACCTGGAGACGGTGTGCTCGCAGGAGACCACAGACTGGCTCGTGACAGAGGTCCTGCTCAACCAGTGCAGGAAAACTCTCTCCACGGAACAACGCGCATTTTGGCTGGCACCGCAGACGCCAGGACTGCACGATCCACGCGGGACACCGGAGTACACTTGCCGCTGGTTGGGTGGAAGCGCAAATCACCATAGACCCCACCCGAATATGCTTGGACCGTCATTGAATCAAAGTCTCGGACAACTGGATATAGTGGATGGAAGGGAAGACGACTTACTAGAAGAGGAAGTTGATGAGGAGCGATGTACAAGTTGTGATGAACAAGGCGTTTTAAATTTCCTCTGATTAACATCAAAAGTTGATCAGGCATAATTTGTAAAGCACTCAAATAATGTATCTATTATTGAGCTTTCAGCGGTGAGTCGCTACCTTGCAATGTTAAAGTTAAATAGCAGAATGGATAAGCAAAAGACAACTCAGGAGAACATTGTCTTTGCATAGAACAACGTGGACTAACTTCTAACAAATTGTATTCATTTATAAGAATGCAATTTATTTGGAAATGTAGTAAAAAAACAGATCAAGTTTTGGTATCCGTTGCCGGTTAATTCATCAGCTACTTTTCACATGGTAGGGTTGCACTGTTTACTCAATTACTGGAATGTGTGCACCAGATTAGGACGCGAGTTTCGAAAATGTGGGTTTTTTAATTGAATTTATGAAGTACAATCTAAACACAACGCATGAGTTTACATTTCCAGTCAGTATTACGCTGTTTAGCCGCGCACAAGTCATACTTTGTGGCTTCATGGTGCAATGCCAAATAAATAAACGTTTTTAATCCTTACGAAGTGAGTTTCGACATAACTATGATGACCGCTGTGACTCGTGGATACAAGTTTCGCGCTTTAGTAGTAGAGCGACAACCAAGGCATGCGATTAAAACCATTTCCTTGCACAAAAAATGTAAATAGTCATTATATTTCTATTTCTATATTAGTTATTTAGGTATAAACATATTCTACGATAATACTTGATACAACATCAGATTTGGCGGACAGCGTTTCTGTGACAAAAGTAAAGCCGTGCATGAAACTTAAGGCTAAATTTGCACATGACTTAAAGATTTTAAGGCAACATGGATTGGTTTAGATGGGGAAATCCAAGTTGATTTACTGGTCTAATAAATCAAATCTTTAAGTTAGGGAAAATCGACGACGTCGAGTAGAGTGTGTGCCTGCTAAAAACAGTTGATGCGCCTTTTACTCTTTGAGTAATTTGCCACAATCATTGGGGAAGTAGCATATAGCTTTGACGTGACCAGAACAAATATTTACTCAGATATATTTTTGCCCTTGCCTTCATATAACAAGGGTGCGTTTAACGAATGTTCAAATTCTTTAGTATGTTACAGATGGATTTGGTCCTAGTAAGGTAACCTGAATTCATAAATAAATGGTGCAGAAAGTTAAATCTAAAGTTGAAACGGTGTAAAGTTAACCATAAGACTGTAAATTTCCACGTTAATAAACTCATTATGTCGCGTTCCATTACCGCAGTCTGTTGGATAAATATTACCGTCTACATGAGGTAAGTGTGCATTTCGAGTAGCCGCAGACAGCCCTGTAGAGATTTAGGGAATGTAAGTAGATGCAAAATAGTAATCCTCAAAAAGCATAACTGTAAATTAGGATGTTTGGTGTGGATTCGAGCTGATCATGTCTGTCCTTGAGCACCAAAGTCTTCCGACTTTCTGCACGTAATCAAGACGTAGGAAAGCATTTGTCACTAACATTGTGCACAAGATATCTGGAACAATTTGAGATTGGAAAATTAAAAAAAATAAGTAAAACAGGCTTCGGTTCAGAAAGAAGCACTTTCTAATTCACACGTTTTAAACTAAATTTAAATTTTCATGAGTTACCTAAAAGAACGAAAGGGTAATTCGTATTAAACGAAACATTGAAATAAGCAATATATATGTCTTACTGCTGTTGTGTTTTGGGCCATCTTATTTTGAAGTGCTCGTGTTATTGCCAAAAATAGAAAGTCGATTAAAATGATGTTGAAAAGGTGGATGAAGGTAAAAGTCGTCGTTTTTGAGATGTCTGACGCCATCGAATTTTAGAAAAAAGACCCAAGCGGACTATCAGATTTTACTAGAGTTAATTTGCGTCGACTACAAGCTCCTTTAATTATTTTTAATCTTACAAGCTTCCACTATTGTCCTCCCTTATTTTTTTCTAACTTCTAATGCCAATCCCTTTATCATTTTGTTGGTTAACATCTATCATAGTTTAGTCGTTGACTATTCTTCTATTTGCACATGAACTGCCATCGAATTAAGACAGCTAGCCTTATATGAATCCCTATTTACAAATTCATGATCTAGCTTTCAAAAATTTACTTCACTGCGTTAAATAACTCCAAAACAATAGGTTGTACTTTGTGCATTTGACCCTTCGTCATGTGAATAACAGTCACTTTTGATGAAATTGATGATTATTTTAAGTGGCTTGATTTCTTTTCGCATTAACTTTACTAATATAAATGTGATTTAGGAAGCTGTTTGCTATTCTTAAAGCCAAATATCAGGAGAAAGTTTAGGCTTAATCAACAATTTGGGATCTTTAGGAGTTTTGAAGCTTTATGATTTGAATAAACCCAAAGAGGTAGAAAGCCAAATTATATTTACCAATAAATGTTATTTGTTTTTGTATTAAACATGTGAGAATCAAGCACTAATCTTAGACCTTAAAAAACTGATATTTATTAGAATAAATCTATTACCTATTGAACAGGATGCCTTGATCTGATTGGTTGATTCACCTTTTTGCAGTAAATGATCTGATAGTGAGAAAATTGTTCGCTCGATTCCCTAGTCCTAGTTTCTCAAGCTCAGTTAACATAATTTGATTCTGGTGGTCACTTTTCACACGTTATCTTTTACACATGGCCAATTGTTAGTGCTTCCAACACATCGCTTTGAAATAAATAGATCAGAATCACTTGTATCAAGCATTACACTTTTGTGATATTACTGGACTTCTTCGTTGAAATTTTTCTAGCCGCCAATGGGGAGTCTGCACAAAATTTCCCACCCTAGAAATGACAGCGTCAATTTATCCGTGTTGCAGAAAGTGAGTTTGTTGTCCACCCAAATACTTATGTTAGGCTCTTCAAAGTGGACTCGCTTCGGTCCGCGCAAACGCCTTAATATTACTTGCAAATAAATTGAATCCTGACGTTACTTTCGGCTGCATGACTGCGGCTGAGTTACTTCTCTTCTTCTGTGCTGATGGCGATGCTCGGGTCCGTGCAACGGCGTTAAATTGTCTATGTAATTGGGCGCAGTATGAAAAACATAAACACAACGGAACTACAAACAAACGGAAGTACGAATGGATTTCGGATCACTGGCAACAGGTCTACACACTCGCGTGCAAGCTCATTACTGAGGATAATTCAAAGGTATCGGCTTGTTTCGAGGACGTGTTACCTTTTTCTTTGTGATTATAAGAGTGCTTTGTCATTCTTCCGGGCCAATATAACTACTGCGTTAGATGCCAGTATTTTCCTTGTCTTCCTACTAAAACGAAAAACTTCCGTTATCTAAAAGATCAAGTTCTGCGCTTTTAGTGGACTAGCTTTATTATTTAATGACTTCTGTTCCAAGTCCTAATTTAGCTGGCTGGTATCTTCTGTAAGTGAACGCATTGCTTTGGGATGACCAATTAATTAACCAACTAAATTCATGACAATCACTGTCTTTTAGGTGCGCCAGGTTAGCTTGAGAGCAATATACCTGCTAGGCTTGCGCTTTGGTCAGCACGAGACCCCAGCAGATACTATCAATCTTTCTGGTGGATCCATCGAGAACGCTAGTCTGGATATGCGGTTAAGCCCAAAGAAACTGAATCCTTACCGACCCAAGCTCCCGAGCTTGGTGGATGACGCCTTCTCCCGTGTCTGCGATCGCTTACAAGACCCCAGCCGATATGTCCGTCAAACGGCTGCTGGACTGATAGGAGATTTGGCAAAGGTAGTCCATCTTTCTCGAATTGAAGCATCTCTAGTTTTAATTAGGTGACCGGCTCTTTTTTTTTCTTTTTAAATGAGCACTTAACAAATCTAAATCATTCCTTTCATATAATGTTAAATGCAACCCCATCAGTAGTAAAGGTGTAAATGCATGCAGTGCACCTATGCTCATACGGGTTTTGGGGTAATTAACTTTTCCTTTCTACACGAAGTGTTGTAGTCAAAGAAATCTACGAAGTTACCCGCGTGTGTTCTTCTCCTGATTTATGATTTACTCATGACTTAAGCGTCTACTACTTTTGTTATATCTGTCGCCATAGGAGCGGATTTTAGGCAGTAGTTTGAGGGTCAAGCCGTTCTTTTATCCTGTCCAACCTAATAATTTGGCTGGTTGACTTCCCATGCTTCGGTTGGTGCCGCTTGTAGCAAATGTGAAGAGGACATGCATGTCTTCTGTCACTTGGGGTAGCCTTTCAACTTTTTCAATCTTTCGATTTTGCCTTTCGATTTCCTACTCAGACTGTGAGACGTTCTGCAAAATCTGGATTTTATAGTATTCTGTTATTAGCTGTTATTCAAAAGTTATGCAATACCATGATGACTGACGACATAATGTTAAAAATCTATGCTTGAGTCAATTCAAACCTCCAATATGTCGTTTGCCTCAAGCCTCTTTCCATCAAATCATTGGATTAAAATTGCGGTTGAAGTTATACCGTGTGTGTCTCGTTGAATTTCAAATTACACCAAGCATGGTAGGTTTGCCCATTCTTGGGGAAGCATCCATAACATCTTCTGGATAAGTGTCTAATTGTCTCATTCCTCAACCAACATTGCATTTAGTTTGTCTCAGAAGAGAGTCTTCTGTTGACGTTGGAAAAGACAGTAATGTCTGATAGACAGGTGAAACGCTTTGATCGACTGAACGGAGGCGGCGGGGTGGACAAGTCGTCGCTGTGGGGTCCGGTTGTGGGCGGCTCCTCCGGCAGACCGATGCATCGGGCTCATCAGCATCCACAGGCCGCCGCGCAGTCTGCTCCGATCTCCGTCGACTCCATTTCTCTCCTCTCCACGGGTGCTCTGGGTGCTCTAATCAATGGACTGGAGGACGAGTTTCACGGTACCTTTTTAGTCAATTTATCCCTCTATCCTCTGTCACAAGGCAAGTCAAACCGATCCAGCTTGTGACTGAAGATCACGTGATGAGTGGTTTCTCGTTGAAATCTGACTACGATGTAACTGAGGCGCACGCCTTTTTAGTAACTGCGACAGTGAGCAAGATAAACATGCTATTCGTTACTCGCTCCGTATTCAGTTATGCTGTAGGTCCAGCCGCTTCATTATTGTCCTAGCTTGATATGCCTTGAACTCCTTAATCACCTCCCGCATCATTCGTTATCCTTTTTTCGCCCTTCCACGTTTGCAGAAGTTCGTTGCGCGACGCTCTCCACGGTGACGCAGATTGCGGCGTACAACGCGCGCTTCGCGTCCCTCTGCCAGGACATCCTTGTCGACATGCTCACCGATGACATTCAGTCAGTTCGACTGCGAGCCGTCAATGCCCTGCAGACGGTTGGAGACCAGGTAACTCGATTTTTTGGCACTGGCTATCTACTTTATTCCACCCTAAGCTACCGGGACCAGGTCGTGCCACCTCACTATGTGCATTCCATGGAAGCGCCTTTTCAACGGCGGTCTCTCTATGACCCAATGCTTGTCCTGATTCCTTTCGTTCCCTTTACACTCTGGGTGGTGTGCTTTGTAGCTTATTCTCAAATCTTGCCGTGGTAGATTTTGAAGGCTTGACACGGTGGGGTGATTATAGTTGCAAATAAAATAGGACCTGTGTTAAAGATTGTTTTGGAAGCTTCTCAACCATGCCGGTTTATTGCGTGTTAGATTTATGAAAAACGTACCGAAAGGTAATGTTATATCTGATCTTGCCAAGCTAAAATTGCAAAAACCGAAGGCAGGTGAATCTATTGGAATATTATTTTGTGCTATCTAGTGGTTGTTAAAACGAATTCTGGTGGCTTGACTTAATGCTGAAATCGACGTCAAGAAAATGTTCCAGGAGTTTTCGATGGTCGACTTAATATTTAAGATGCTATTTCGCAGGAACCTCTTAAAGCGATTAAGGCGAATCACGGTGTCACATAAGCCTTCGTATTTTCAAAAACTTGGCCTGCTGGTAAGCGGCTTTGGCACACCGACGAGGTACCATATGCCTCTTATGTTTACCGGCATCCAAAACGCCGAATGAACCAATGCGGGAACCCGTTGTCCCATCTTTTCATCAAAAAGACGAGGACAATTAAGACGTCGAGACCTTTTCGACCTTGAGATCAAAGAACGCGGGAAAATGAGCCAATGGGGTCGAACCTACCAAAAGTCCTCTCTGATGGAAAGGGGAGCTGCCCAGTCGGTTTTATGTTGTTTGATCTCATTAGAAACTCAATCTACCGGACCGTGATTGCATGCTTTTGTCAGTGATTCACTTCATCTAAACACCCCGACACACACCCTACCCCCTCCCTCAAAATTGAGTGATTTTGTGCAAGATAGACATTTTCACAATAAACTCCAGATTCCGCCTCTCCCCGCCCACGTTTTTTTCCAAGGTGCCCATTCTGAACGACCAGGTGGCGATAGTGACGTCGGCGCTGGCGGAGGACAGTGTGGTCATCCGGCAGCGCATCCATGCTCTGCTCTCGCGCTGTCGCCTCGTCTCGCCGCCCTGCCTCCTCTCCCTTCTGGACGGTCTTCTCGCGAACCTCCGCCTCTACCCCGAGGACAGGAACTCCGTGTGGAGGCAAGTCGCATTAATGCTCTGACATCCCTGCTCCGCGTATGCGTGACATCCTCCACTTCCTTGATTCCATTGAGTCAATCATGTGCTTGGTTGGGGCTTTACTTTAGCTGTGCAGCCGCAGTCGGTCGTCGACATCCGTTTTTCGTGGAGGTTTGTGTGACGAGTCTTCTGCGGACGCACCCCTGGCTTTCGGACCAGGAACCCTTCAGGGAGGATCCAGCCTACATCACCGTTCTGTTGCTCGTCCTCAACGCTCACCCCCACGCCCCCGGCATGGCTGCCCACTTCCCTCGCCATCTGGCCACCTCACAGGTACGCAACAACTTCAAAACATCACGAATGTGTGAGTGAAATGAGGCATTCTTTGGATGGAAGTTCGGTGGGCTCTTACTCTCACCATTGTCTCACGCGTTGACACTCGTCTACTCAGAATCTCTGATTAGTCTGTTGGCATCACCGTCTCTCTCCTTTATCTTTAGGCCTATCTACGAGAGCTTGTTCCGCATTTGCTTCCGAAGGAGACCATGCGCTTCTCTTTCGTCTGGAAACCCTCGACCGATCTCTGCCTTCCATATAAGGTAGTAACGTTTTTGTGGACAAAACTTTAGGTGGCCGTTCTAGTCAGTAGAAATATCCCCTTTCGGATTCTGTTCTGGAAACTTCCTTCGTCCACACCGCCTTAGATTGTAACAACATCCATTTTCTTAGTGCACTGCCGGATTCCTCAGCGTTAGCAATGATCCTGGTCTAGTATTGTAATCATTACAATGCTGTCGCTCAATTGCCTTTTTTCTTTCGCGTCCACATGTAGCGCCAGCGTCTGGATCGCGGGCTAAGTGATGATGTCGACGATACAACAGGCAGCCAACTCTTCCGTTTCCTCACCTCCACAGTGGGACTTCTGCGTCGGCTTCTTGCAGATTGCGTCCACACTCTCCATCAACGCCGTGAGCTGCCAACATCTCCCGACAAGTCAGCTGGGGAGCCCATGGACACCGAGTAAGTCGCCTGTCCGTTCGCAGAATCCCCCCTGCTGCTATTTCCCTCGCCTGTGTTAAACACGCACACCTCTTCTTAACTCGCGTGTTGGACCGTCTGCACACGAGTTGGTCCAGGCCATAACGTTTGCCATAAAGTGGCTGCTTTTGTGTCGCCCCATCGACTGAAGCATTTTCTGGCTTTGAATTACGAGACGGAATCATGCTAGTAGGTTGCCAAACATCAGTACAACAAAGGTCGATGTTTCGGACACCAAAAGGTCGGTATTCACCCAACGTCGGGGTCACCAATTGTTGTGGACCCTAGTGTGTGGTCTTGAACCACGCCGGGGCCACAGAATTAACCCTGGGTCGAATACGCTTCCCTGATACCCGCGATGAAGGAAAAGAGCAGAGCTCAACCAAAACTTGCGTCGTTATGTCGTTGCGTGGGGTTTGCGCATGTGTTTATACCTCAGGTGTGTGAGTCATTCATGCGCTAACATCGAGACCTAGGTGTGGGGATACTCCAAGATAAATATTCATGCTAATGAAGGGGGAGTTGAGGATTCGCGCGGCTGGCGACATGCTGCGACAAGGGGAACCCTGTGTCGGAGGTGGAGCGACCGGATTAAGGGGGTTGAATAAACAGGATTCACGACGGGCTTGATGACCTCTTCGCGTCACGAAACCCAACTCATCGTCTAGTTCGAGTAAAGCTTCCTCGTGTAGATGTCTTGAAAAATGCGCTGTATGCGCATAACAAGGTCCAGACTATACAGTGAAGTCGGTGCCTGATCTAAAAAATACATCTTCGTGTAGGAAAAAACCGACGCCCAACTTCGGGACTTCTCCTTTTTGCAAATATTGAAAGTGTTGTCTTGAATGTGGGCTCTTTGTTATACAGAAAGAAGTCTTGACCTGTGTGTATAGTAACTGCAACTCCTTTGCCCTCGCGCGAGCTGACCATTCGCTTTAAGACGAGGAATCTGCCAATGTAGGTTTAATCTTACGCCAACTTGCCTTCTTCTTCTTCTTCTTTGTCCCCTAAGTGAGAAACCAGCCGTGTCGGCATCGGAGCTGAAGCGACGGCTGGCGCGACTGGGGCAGGCGTCGCGCCAGGAGTTGCGTGTCTGCCAGAACAGCCTGGGCGCGCCGTGGCTGGGCGACCTGCCCTCCTGGCTGAACTGCCTCGTCACTGCGGCCCAGTGTCTGCTAGCAGCCACCCTCCACCAGACCACAAATCCCAAACTCTTCATCACGCTTCTGCGACAGGTCAAGAAGCTTTCGCTCAGGGTACGTTGCTCCGTCTTCGTAGTTCCCCGTCGTGTTTGTAAATTGGTCCTAGAGCATGCCTGTTCGCTTCCAATTTAGGCAGAGCACCTGTACTTGGGCCTCACCCCACAGGAAGTGGCGGCAGTTCGTGGACTGCGGTCGGCCTTGTCCAGTCCCGGCATGTTGGACGCTTCCACGGTGAGCCGTGTTCTCACTGAGCTTCTCGACGTGTGCCTGAGGACCGAGGACATTGAGTCTTGCGTGGGCAGAATTCAAAAGCCCCACGCCCAGCTCCTGCACCCACCGCCGACGAAGTCCGATGTCGACTCGACTGGCGCCGGGCAGACCCCCGCTGGACCGCTCCCCGAGATCCGATTCACCGCCGTCCTCGCCACCGCGGCCGTGCGCGTACGCGCCATCGTCACGGGCTTGTCTCTGCAACAGGCGAGGTACGCTAGCCGACTTTCACTGACTGGCAAGGACACCACAGCCCCTTTTTTCAATCGGATTTTCTCTAGTCTCATGTATGCTAAAGAGGGACTTTCCATGCTGACAGATTCTGTCCAGATGGTTCTTGTTTTTCGAGAATCTCGAACTCGCACTCAGCTTAGGTTCCAGGAACCGAACACATTCGCAAGCGAGCGAATGGATCTACGTCTTAGTCAATGATTAATAACGCGTGGTTCGCGTTGAAATTAGTGGATGATATCGTAGCCAGTGATCCTGGTGTCACTGGATAGTACTCTGACCTTATCCATAACCTATATCCGGTTTTTTTTTCTTTAAAACTAACTTTACAAAAACTACAGTTAGTCTGTGGTGACGTGTGTGTCTTGTTTTGCTTTAGGAGCCGAGTGCGCGTCCTCTACCGTCGTCCAGACACCGCGGGCAAAGCCCAGCGCCAGTGCTCCTGGCTCCCGCCGGCCTCCGCCTGGGAGGTCCTTGACGGTCCCCTCATGGAACCTGGTGGTGGGGAACTCGCCCACACCACCCCCCACACCAAGGCGCCGCGCCTGGAGTTGCAGGTGCGCTGCGTTCGAAATCACGGCTAGTAGGGAAGGGCAATCTGGCACACGCAAGATTACGTATCTGGCGAGTTGTCTCATGGTGCCTCCCAATTCCAACGAGTCCAGGCCATCCGTTCACCTGTGTTCGTGAGAGTGCACTTTGAAACCCAACTAAAAACTTATTAAGAAGCGCTATCGAAGCAATTCGTTTTTGTTTCAATTTAGAGCACAACCCCAGCGCAACTTATTACCTAAGCTAAAATTGATTTCCATTGGCGCAACACTTTTTACAAGCGTTTCGTTTCGCATTCAGACTACTCTGGAGTTGACGGCCTCGTGCTGGAGCGACACTGCCACCCTGGAAATCGGCCTCGGCATCAGCGTCCCCACGACAGAAGGCAACCCCGACGACGACGAGTTGGCGCCGGCTGTCATCTCGCTGTTGCCTCCCGACGTGGTCGCCAAAGTCAAACTGCTGCCCTGCGACACCTCCCATCGGTGGTGAATGCGAACGCGACGCCTCTCAACCACAGTTGAACAAACGCGGGTGTACAAAAAAGGCCATTCCCAAGCCCAAACACTTGTGTAAAGTTGTATGAAGGAAGACCATGCTTGTGGTGTCTCTCTAGCTATTTCCTGTACAATAAAAAAAGTATGACCTAGGAGGTGAACCATCGTGGCAGGCGACCAGCAGAAGGCTGCGAGGGTTGTGGCAATGGCTGGGAACTCGCCTCCTGGCCCCCCTCGGTCGCGTCTTTTGCTGGCTTCAAACCGCCTTCCGCACGCGTCTGTTCCATCAGCCGATTCAACTCTTCTGAAGGTCGCTTGCCGTCCTTGAAGATGTCGGGGAATTCAAATTCGTGGTCGGGTGCCTAAAGAAGGACTGGTTTTACTATCCTCACAAATCGGATGAGCATTTCAGTGAACGGCGAATGCGTGACAGTGCCTGCAATCTGGATGAGTGTGTTGTTTCACCACATGGTAACACGAATTTGCCAGAGCCAAGCCGGCTAGAAGGCCAAAAAAGTGACTTACGAGGTGGACGTAGGCCACTTTTTCGTAGCGCTCGGGTTCCCGAGGCAGCAGATGAGGGAAGGTGGCGCCAGCTACCCGTTTCGGGTCCTCAGCTGCGTCCAGGGGGGCGACTAAAATTGCGGGGATGGATGACGCGTTGATAGTGGTAATTTTACATCGACAAATGAAAGGTCTGTCACCTGATTTATGGGCTGTGAAATCCATTGTGACCACATTTGTAAATCCCAAATTTCTATGGAGACAACGGTAGTGCGCAGCGGTTGCAAAAGTTCGTGCCCGATAGGGAACCGCATTGACAACAACACATTCTCATGGCAAATGGTATTCGTTAACTAGTTACTCACTCCCTATCATCTCTCATGATTGTCCTCCAACGTTTAAAAATATTTCTGAAATCCCTCTTTGTGGAAACTGGTTTCTTTTCAACGCAACTCGTAAGTTAGGTTTTGAATAATTCCATAGGATCGAAATTTTAGCGATTCAAATTATTTTACGAAGAACAAAATAGGGGAAACGTGAAAAGGCAAGGTCGGGGGTGATGAAGGATTTGTCACTTTAGCTTCCTAGGTTTTGGGGTGTCTGTTATCTAGCGACGTGTTGTCTAGAGTTGTTACGGTGACAGACGATGCCTTTTATGAGTGGCCGACGTTGCACGTTTTGAAATACAGCAGTCTCTTTTTGGCTACATGGAGGAAGCTCACAAATCAATCCCACCAGACACACTGGCTACGGCGATTCGGCCTTTACCATTGACTCACTTCCTTCATTTCCATGTTGCTATGTGGAAGCACGGTTCTGTCAAAAACATGCGGAATCCAAATATCGAGTTCCCATGGTCACCTGTTGACTCCTGTTCGCTAAATCATGGACAACGCCGTTATCGGCGCTGGCAAGTTGTCCAGAGCGAAGCTCGACGTCGAAAACCAATTCTTCCCTTCTCGAATTCAACCAAACGACTTTATAGCTGACTTGCGCAACCTCAGTAGATGTCTTGAGAGCTTTTTTTCTGCATCGACAGTATGGAACAACAGAACAAAAATGCAACGTTCCATTTGGAATATTAGCCCGAACTTGAAGGAAAAAGACTTTTAAGGTTGTGTAACTTCACGACGCATGCAGACAAGCTTTTCAATTATATGATTAAATTAGAAACATCAGCACAGTGGGAAGCGCATGTTTCTGTCATCCTCGAAAATCGAGCTTGAACTTGTGGAATCACCAAATAGAATATCTTCGACCATAGTCTCAACGAAATTAAAGGCTAACGGTGTTCTAAATTTGATGAGGAAGTGTGGAAAGCCACACAGTTTGCGCACTTTGTCGTGGTCATCTATGCCGGTAACTAAATGAGACAACACACAACCAAGCTTACTTACAGTCATGATAGGCCATCTTTAGCCGAACGTCGGCTACGGGGACTTTGTAAATCTTCTCTAGGTACTGTTTGACGTCAAACTTGGTCATCCTGAAATAAAAAAGTTAGTGTCATAGGGAATCGACGTGGGAAGACTGGGTGTGATCAGAAAAGAAATTAACATTGTGGCATTCAACGTAGGTGACAAAGAACGTTAGCAAAAGACCCTCACTTTATGCGACGCTTTTTGAAAATGTCTCAATTACTCGTCTTTACATCGGCGTCTGCCACAGTGTATTACCGAACACGAGTACGATAACGAAATGAATTACAACCAAATTATTTGAATGTATTTAAGAACCATCTGACCACTTATTTGGTTCTTACCTGCTACACCTACTATTAGAACCTGGAAATTTCGCCCAGGTAATCTCTCTAGCAAAACGTCATAAACACTAGCTGCTGGAATATTCTACAAAATGTTTTGCTCAATAAAAACCGCTTTTGTAAAGGATATGTTGAGGGCCCCGGCATGTTGTCTTGAACCATGCCGGGGCCAATGCGATTATCTAGGCCGAATACGTTACCCTGCGTTCCCGCGAAAATATAGAAGACCGGAGTGGGGAAGGCACAACCGTTTACTAGACCGCTCAACCAAGTTGTGTCGTGTACAATTACGATTCAGTGGACATGTACAAAAACACCCTGGCTCTGTGAGGTCACATGAATAAAACTGGTGGTAGGACATGCACAGGTGTTAATGGACCAATGGCCTCACGTGACTGACGGGCAGGTTGTGAACAGAGGGGACATGTGTGAGGCTGCGACGACTGGGTGTTTAACGTGAATCAACACGATTCACTACAGATACATCAGAGGTAGAAAGTGTTACTGCGTCCAGATGATGCAACAATGTAATCGAAAAGGTAGGATAGAATAGGTACGGTTACTCACTGTGGATGAACCTTGAATACTACCAACCGCTTGGGACATTTCTCGCCAGGGTAAAGCATTTTCATCCAGAATGGCGGCAGAAACATTCGTAGTTGGGGGTCACCGGGCGTGAACTTTGGGTACACTACGTGACGAGTCCAAAGTGGCCTACACAAAGGAGGTTAAGCAAAGATTCCAACTGCACATGAAGAAATGAAATCCTGGACTAAAGCGTAAAGAGCTAGAATAAGTGGATGACGGAACAAAACCTCCCAAACACGTCTTGTAAAAGAATCCAATTTACGTAGGAGCAATTTGCCATGACACTCAAATGTGTCATGCCGAGAGGAAGCACCGACTGAGTTGGGGGAGAGTAAGCTACGTTGTAAGCGATGCAGATTCAACAACAGTGGAACAATTTCAGTCTTGTCCCCAGTTTCCACACTGCCAGACGAATTATTTTTCAAGGAATTACTGTTCTCCCGTGATAACCTTTAGATTAATGTCAACGTAAACTTTGTCTATTCAGAGGTATCAAGATAGTCCGCAAATGGGTGTTTAGTTGAAAAATATAAATGCTAAATTGAAGAAAAATAATAATATTCAGTATACGGACTTAGACAATCCCACTTACACATAATGCTTTGTTTTCGGAAGAGCAATTGGGTTAAAGTAGACGACAGGCCTCATTATCTGGATTCACAGAGAAAACAAGGCAATTTAGACACTACTTCAACCTACGGCTAATTTAAATAAATAAACAATTCAGCGGAAAAAAAACAAGGCAACAACCCACTTAAGATGGAAATACGAAGAAAAGGAATGTCTGCACATGAAGGCAAGAGCACTTGACAGCAACTTTCATTGGATGCGCTTTGATTTACACAGAACACGTCAAAGGGGATAATAGATCATCGAATAAAACAGAACCGGCAATTATAGCAAACATTACATATTTCTAAAATTATGGGGAATTACCGAAAGCAAACAAGCCGAATTTTGCAGAGTCAACGGCCAAAAACAAAGGGTTCATCGAAACAAACCCGGTGACGCCTGCTATAGGCCTAAAGCAGACCTGGAATGAATTGTACCACTGTATCAGCCACAAAAACGTAATCAAAACTGCGTGGAAGGACTTTTTAAATCTCAATTAAAATAAAATGATAGCATGACAGAGTTAAAGACAAGTTGATAACAAGACCACAATCGAAAAAAAATAATAATGCAAAATCCACTCTTGAACAAAATGCGGGACATATTTTTAAGTCTCTATATTCACATCGCTAGGCCGCACACACAACCACAGCCCCACAAATTTAAGACGTACAGCAATTAGTTAACGATTAAAACAAATTGTTGTGAGATGTGCAACTTGACACTTGTTCCGACATAAATCATTTTGTTTGTTGTCTTTGAACCAAGACCTACTCTCTCATATTTGCCAGTGAGATGACTAGTTATTCAAATGAATAAACAATCACTGATTTACACGCCTTGAGCCAGTAATATATCCGTTCACACAAAACCGGTCATTGTTGCAGTGAAATTCGCGGGCTCAACTAGCAGCTGCAATGAAGTAATCATGTTTCCTTTTGAATTAGATACTGGAAAACACTTACTTCCCAAATAACACTCAATTTCATTTTGTTCCACGGGAAATAGATAATGTTTTGTTATTGCCAAACTCTTAGTAGATTTTAAACGACGGAAATTGGCTCATGCAATTTTATTTAATATATTAGTTCTGACCCTCATCAGTAGACAAGAAGACATCTACTTGGCTTAGCTTCAAACTTTTCAAACCTCGTATTTGCGTTTTAGTGCCACCTTAATTTATTCATGAATGCCCGATATCAGGACAAATGTGTCCATCCTTCCTGCCAGCAAGATGACTTCCAAACCTAGTAGTTACCCTATTTAGAAGTTCAAAATACACGCCTTCTAGATAATTCCAAAAATTAAATAACCTTCATCTGCTTCATTTTGCACAAATGGTACAAGGTTTATTGTCAAGTTCTGACGGTTCGCACGTGTCAATCTGTCAATCTATTCGACATCGGCAAATTAATAAAAACAAACGAGAAAGCCAAGAGTTCCACCGTTTGACCAAAATGCAGGATTTGAAAGGCAATTCAAGGCCAAACATCAGTCAAGCATTTCCGCAGTATGGCCTAAAATGCTTAATTTGTGAGCTCATTTGTGGTCAAAAACATTTGTTTATTAGTTGTGCACCATGAATTTACAGTGGTATACCTGTAAACGTTAAGCACGAATTCTTGGAATGTCGGCCGCATCCGACTCACCTAGTACGTGCTCAATCCCTACTACCTTCTACCTTTCTATATTTTCATGGGACAATCGATCAACACAAAGCAACACACGAAGCTTTGGAATTTGCTACACTCTACGGCGTTTATGTATTAAAATTCATTTATTTATTCAATTATATTCTCCACAAGCTAATTACAGGCTGACATTTTTTCATATTCATTTCCTGGAAAATTGGGGATTCGTTTAAGTGGATTTTGATTACTGAACATGGAAAGTGGTCCGCAGACAATGCCATAACGATTAGCGCGATCAATATGCCTACGTGAGAGGCATTCAATGCAGTTCGCGAATGTTCTTGCAACTCCTACATGGTCCTTTAAATCAACTTCACAAATCCTCATTCTGTATTCTAAAAAGTATTGAATTTGTCATTGGCACAGTGGAATAGAGCTTTAATCATCCAGATTATTCCATGTAGCTGAAACCAGGTTGTAGGCCAAAGTAACACGCTTCAAATAATTGTCACATTTTATTTAAATTCTGGCCTGATTGCAGGGGCAGAGAGCCAGTGAAATTGGCCATTGAATAAGTCAGGTTCTTGGTAGTCAATAGTGAGGCGCAATTTATCAAGCACCTCCAATACAGAGATATTATTTCAACCACATTCACTTCATAATAGCTTAATTGAAATAAAGCATTCTTCTACCACCCAAAAGGCTTTTCTGTGGCATTAAGTGCACTCACTTTGTTTCAAAGCATCCACTAATCCTCAAGGACTCCATTTGAGTGAATTCGACGATGGTGGTCTCCTAGTATCAAACGTATCCTCGGATAATTAATGCATATTACTATCAATGTTTGGGCTGTGTGTAGGAGATATCACCTGCAAGCGGCACTACACTTCACCTGTAAATTGCCAAATAAAACAATTAATGCCCTAAAATTTAAGTCGACGCCATTAGCCATAGTTACGTCAACTGTGAAGGCAACACGTATAGCCCACGTTGTGAAGTTTTGGTGCGGGAATACAGGTTCATTTTGATAGTGGATATGATTAGAAAAACAGCAATCTTTTCTTAGCCTCAACATTTGCTGCAGAGTCTAAACAGAGAGGTCGTTGATAATGAAAGCTTCCAACATTGCTTCGCGTCCGATTAGAGTGAATTGTGATGGGCTGTGTCTTGTAGAATAAACGGCCAGTTGAGATACTGACCTGTTGTCCAATCAACTTTGGGTGTTTTGATGCCTGATTACGTATGATTCATCGTGTATAGAGTCCTCTTTGAGGCACTCGAACTCACGTCAGTCGAAAGGGGCTGAGATAAAGCAAAAGTATGTTGCTAATTGATTGCACAGCTAAACGTGACAAATTTTATTTCGGGTGGATTAAAAAACCAAAATTTAACATTTCAGCAACTGACAAATGCAGATCGTCAAGTGGTCGAGTTGATCTGATCTAGAGAAGCCAAACAAACGTGCGACGGAGGGAAAAGTCAGTGAGAAGTAAAAAAAGGTAAAGCTTTCAAAGTAAATGTCTTGCTTAGAAAATATTCGACCGACATTGCCTAGTAACTAATCATCACATTATACGGTATCGAGCTAGATCGAAGTGGTCAAAAACTTTTGTGCAATCAAATATCCCAGATGGACAATCGCAATTTTTGGATAGCTTAACCACTTCAAACACTTTTGACGTCTTAAATCGTTCTTTGAAAGCCACTGTAAGTCCACAATGGGGTGCCCATGAATTTCCTCTAAAAAACTACAGAAATTAAAAGAAATGTTGTGGTTCGAAAATTCTATTAACAGCTAACAAATATGAAAACTGATTGGTCTTGATTTTAACCAATCCAGTAACACCGATACTTAAAGGTATCATTACGACTTACACCTTTCTTGGAATTTTATAATTTTTGTTGAATCCCATGTATACTTCTAATCTAAATGACATTGGGACATGTAAACCAAAACATTCAAGATGGTTTTAACCAAATTTTTACTGCTGAAATAAAATGCTTAATCATTGTAATCAACCGCATCAAAGCAAAATACAAAAGGCACTGTGGGAAAGGCGATGTATTCTAGCGTCCCATTCAAGTTTAAGCAAAATAGAAAATTTCGATGATATGGTATATCTGATCAGACAACCCAGGAAATCAGAAAAAGCATTTACGATGGTAGGTGCGGGCAGGCACTTGTCCATG